CGGTGGACGGCGTGCTCGCTGCTTGCCGGGGATGGGCAGGCCATTGGTGGCTCGAGAGAGAGTTCAGCCCGCCAGGCGAACGCTGTTCTTGCTCCCCGCCCCGCCGAGCCCTTTTGCAGCAGTTCTGGATCCTTGATTCGCCTGCACGCAAATCGCCTTTGCTCGCCTCGCTTCCCGTGCCTCGCTGCTGCTGCGGCCCCGAAAGTCCCGCAGCCAATGACGCCTCCGCCTCACATGGCCAGTGGCACCGTGGCCCAACTGCTGCGCTTGTATCCCCAACCCTGCACGCTATCTCGCCTTCGAGAAGACAAAACCAAAAAGCCACTCGGAATTGCACGCTGCGGAGCACAGTGCGACCCATTGTTCCTGCTACCGCTACTATTCTCGGGTACGAGGTGGCAGAAATTACACATCGCATCAGAGTTATCCCGCGTAGCAACCCAGCCGTGGTGAGAAGCATAAACGTTACAGCGCATGAACCATGGAGATGCATGTCAAACGAATGCCCAGACCATTATTGTAGCTCAATGGTCGCAAGCAAAGCTGTGCAATTGGCCGTCTTGTGACACAGTAGCTGTACTACCTGTGCCCCTTCTTTCTCTGCCATTCAAGGCAAGCACGATGGCGCCTGCAGACAAAGAAAACCGGCGCAAACGGGCTCTGGGGAAACAAAACAGCAATATGAGCCTGCCCTCACCCTGATTTCTCGACATCTTCGTGGATTATAATCTATAATTATATATCTCGTCTCCGTCGGTCCTCCGCAGCTCCACAGCCTGCGAACTCGAAGGGTCGCACCTTCTTGGCTTGGGAGCCAGGACCATGGTTGCAGCCCGCCCAAAGCAGAAGGTGCGGGACACCGCCGTCGCTCCTTCCACGCGACACAACGCGCCTTCCCTTCCACCACCGCCGCCGTCTTCGAATGCCCCCAGAACGAGCGTCCCTCCTGCGTTCACCATGACGAGCGCCAAAGCAGGACTACATGAGAGATCCCGAAATTCTCGTCCACGTCGCTGCTCCCAGCGGGGCCAGGGATGACGCGAGGTATCGCTCTCAGATTCAGGCCTTCTTGGCCTTCGACCCGGTGTCGAGACACTGCGTTTTCAGCTCTGAAGACGGATCGAGCTGTGAACCGCCAGCTGAAGAGGCTGTCCGGTTTCCCGAGCAGTCAGGCGGAGACGAAAAATCGGGACATTCGGGGGACGAATTGCGTAGTGTTGTGGATGAGTCTTCCTCTCCAGGAGTGACCGCGAGAGAAGCAGATCCGAAGTCGAAGGATCAAGAAGCAAAGCTCGGTTCAACGCATCCGCCGCCTCCTTCTACTACTTTTGGTGACAATGCCCCGAACTGTGGACGTGATCCGCCCACTGACGACCAACATCCTGGCCCCGGAGGTGTATCGCACACGCTCCCTGCAGATTGCGTCTCGCACCGCGATGGGCCCCCGTCGTCTGTTTCGGCGTTGCAGCAAGGTGCTTCGGTATCAAATTCCTTCGAAACACCGCTCAGTGTGATTCCGGACTCCCAGCCACATGAGCCAAACTCCTCGGCAGGAAATTCAGAACGCGCGAACCACGCACCGGTAGAGCAAGTTCAAGTTCCCCGATCATTCTATGCAGAACCCTCATCTCCGTCCAAACGACGTCGACTGGATAATGCTGGGGGTGCACTACAGTCCGCTGAAGCAGATAACGTGCGAATCCTGTCGTCTCTGCCGAGTTCAAATGGATGTGCACCGCCAGAAAAACAGACTGAGATATATACTCATGAGAATCGCCCTATAAATGCACCTAACGTCGTCTACAGAGCTTCAGGACCTCCAGATAACAAACCACAGACCATTCCACGACAAGATCATACAATATCACTATCCGTCCTGCCTCTGGAAATCCATCCTCCTCCGCCCCCAGTCTCGACAGGCAGATTTCAAACTCACATCACCCCAACCCTCCAGATGCTCGCGGAACGGATGAAGCTGCCTCGTAAGTTCAAGCCTGCCAAGCAGAGTAGAGAGCTGGAGCCGTTGGAAAGAGGTTACTGGTTTCTCCAGGTGAACGTTTTTGAATCGGACAATATAGACAGGGGCGACTGTGGTCAAGAAGCCGGATGTGGACGTGTGAAGGCCAACAATCACAGTCCAAACGACTGGTCCTTGTCCTTCTTTTGCCAATTCTGGTCCTTTCTCACGGATTTCATTTCCCGCGAAGGCCGCGCCGGCTGGGGTGTCTGGGGTATCCTAGAGGAGAAGCGCCAGAACCATGCATCCCAGCAGACCGAACCCGCAGCAAACCCGCTGGACCAGCAGCAGGAGCAGCCACAGAACCGAAAGTTGGCCATGCGGCGGCCATTGACCCTAAAAGTCTACTGCTGGGGCGAGGTCGCCCCGCACATCTATATGCTTCTCTTCCTGGCCACGGAGCGACGTATCCGAGGCATGCGAGCCCAGTGGAGAGACGCAACAGAGAGTGTGGTCATCGAGATGCCATGACGCATGCTATACTTCCTACTAGACCTATAGACCTACCTACCTCTATAAGGCGGGAGGACCAGCCACGCAGACCCCCCTCTTTGAGCATTTTTTTTTCCGCCGTCTTCTTGGACGGCTTATAGGACACATGTCCACGACAGGTCCTTTTTTTTTTCATTTTTTTTTCCTTGTATAGTGACACTTTTCTTGTATAATTAATCTCTTTCTTTATTCTATATTTATTTGTAATAAAAAGTCTTTCTTCGTTTTTCTTGTCCTTCTACCCACCCATCCTCTTCTTACAACTTTTTGATTGATTGGATAGTTATTTATACCCATATGATTTTTTATGGGGACAAAGAAAATTATGACGTTTACGCACAAAAGGCTTAAAAAAAAGTATAGGTTAATGCCAATGCTAATACTGGAATCTGCTTTGTCTGAATGAATGGCCAGCATGATGGGTATACAGTATACTTCTAAATGATCCATATATTGATAACCCTTCATCATCTGCATACTATTATACATGCCATTCCAACAAGAGATTGGCCTTCCCTGCGGCCCTCAGGATAGCGGTACAGCGATATGCCGCCTTGTTGTTGTTGTTGTTGTTGTTGTTGTTGTTGTTGTTGTTGTTGTTGTTGTTGTTGTTGTTGTTGTTGTTACTTCTAAAGAAAAAGAAAAAAGAAAGAAAAAAAAGGAATGGGAACAGATCAGTAGTTCAGCTCGCCACTTCCTGCTCCACCCACTGCATCTAGATCTTCGTAGCTCTTCAAACTGCGACCTTGCACCGCTTCGCGCGGGCCCATAGCCTGTTGGACACCTCCCGCACCCATCGCGTCTGGGAAGCCTCCAGAACCGACGAATCCGGCCGCCGGGTGGCCTGGAGGCACATACGGGGCTCCAGCAGCGTTGGGCGGAAGACGGCCCCCTGGCCCAAACATCCCCGACATGCCTCGGACAGGACTCAGACGACCATTGCCCATGTTATTGCGGTTGCCGCGACGATCGTACGGTCCGGAACGGTTAGCGTATCTGCCACCCCCTCTGCGCATCGCGCCCGGTTGATGGAGACCGGATGCATCCCCGGAAACAAGGCCGTTGCCCCAGCCCGGTTGGTTGACACCCATGAAGCCAGGGAAATTAGCAGCGGGAACACCCTGGAAGCCCCCAGCCATAGCGCCGTTCGCGTTGAAGTACGGAAGGTTCGCCGCCAGGTTGAATCCACGAGGGGTCCCAGATTGCATATGGCCCGAAGGGACAGGGAAGTGGCCATTGCTGTTAGCGTCAGACCGCGACGGTGCGATGTGTGCGGGGTCCAACACATAAGCATTGACCAGGGTGAGCTATCACATTGGTTAGCCGCCATGTTGCTTCGGGAAAGTTTGTTAGAGGAGCCAGCCTTACATCGTTTTTGATGTTTTCAAACCATTCAGTATGACGCTTCTCAACGTGCTTGCGCCAGAAGTGCTCCGCTTTGAAAAGTTTGGTGCATTCTGGCACCTTGCAGCGGAATTTGGCCTCGTCCTCCTGCTTCACGTACTTGGCCAATTCTTCCTCGAGAGCTTCATCCACTGGCTTTCCACCGAGCTTCCGGAGATCCGCATTCTCGGGCTCCAAAATTTGGAGAAGTTTGTCTTCAAAGGTCTTAACCCAGTTGAACGCGCGCTGCAACTGCTGCTCCGCCTTCGACAATCTTTGCGGCCGCTTCTCCTCACCCGGAGAACCGCCCTCCTCGCCTTCCTCACTGGGTTCCTTCTTCTTTAGAGGGAACGGCTGTCCCATGGCACTGGCCTTCGCCACTTGTTTCGCCTGAGTACTCAGACCAGAGCGTGGGCGACGCAGGTGACCACCCGGGCATTTGCGGACCAGCTCGTGGACAGAATCACTCTCGAACACGCAGAAAAAGCAGAAATTATACACCCGACGAAGATATTCGACCATCAGGTCCAATTTCTTCTTCTTGACCAAGAGATCCTCGTCATCCACCTCGTCATCATATCCCTCCATTTCTTCACCTTCCTCAGCTTCTCCCTCATCGGCGCCGTCCTCTGAGCCGAATTCGCTCTTTCTCTTCTTGACACTCACAGGGCCGGTGACAGGAGGCTGCAGCCACCCTTTGGCACGGAGATCCTCCACTCGCTCTTCAATCTTCGTGTAGGCGTCAGCACCCCCGCCAAGCTCGGAATCTAGTTTGGACACGAGACGTCGCGCGAGCTCAAGGTCGCGCTCGATACGCTCTGGAGCAGAGAAAAGATCCCACAGTGCCTTCTTCCGTGGTTGAGATGGCGGCACATGCACACCCACGTGGCACACAAAGTCTCCATGAACTGGATCATGGATAGTTTTGTCATTAATAGCTTCAAGAGCCTTCTCAGCAGTTGACGTGTTCGTAGACCCATTCGCAGCAGTCTCCGCCTCAGCTTCCGCGCCTTCCTCCTCTCTACCATCACCTCTTTCAACGAGAGGAGGTTCCTGAGCAGCTGGATTAAGCATGATCCATCCCATACGATGGAACTTCTTTGAGGGGTTGGGATCGCTTAGACTGAGCCACTTGAAACCGCCATCCCCTTCACCGAGATGTTCCTTACAAAACTCCTCGATCTTCTCTCGACTCACATTCGGTGCCAGGGTCTTGATGAGCAGTGCAGGCTGATAGAGCGCATCGTCGCGAAGCTCGGCCCCTCGAGCTGGCAGAAGGTCGAGGACGCCTAGGGTCTCACCAACTGCAGTAGCTTCGCCTTCTTCCTTCTCAATAATACCACCGGCCCCATCACTCTCACTCTTATAGATGCCCTCCAAAGTAAATTCATCGAAAAGCCCTGAATCAATGTCCCGTTCCCACTGCTCATATGCCCCTCGGCGGAAATCCATCAAACGTCGGCGAAGAGGGTCTCTGACCTCGGGCACATAGCGCTCTTTGAACCATTCCTCCCCGCGATGTTGCTGCACGAACTGCCGAGCCAACTTGACCTGCAACTCTGCCTTGTATGCATCGTAGGCAGCCTGGATCTGCGCTCTCTCCTTTTCCCTGTCTTCTCGAGCCTCACGCTCTCCCTTGACACGGTCCGACGGGCGGCGCCCGCCGTGTTTCGCCCGTTCCTTTTCTTCTTTGATAGCCTGCTCCGCTCTCCACCACTCGGCAAACCAATTGAACCCCACCTGAAAATCAAGTGTGAGAGGGTTCGGGAGTGGGTTTGTTGGAATGGGGCGCTTGCCAGAGTCCTGTCCGGGAACATAACGATCGATATTTGCGACATTTGGGGAGGGAACGCGGCGACGCTCATCACGGTCTCTGGAAGGATAGTCACGCCCAGAACCATAATAGTCATCTCGAGAAGAGCGAGGTTCGTAGCGGTCGATCATAGGAGGGGAGCGGGAACGACCACGGCCGCCACGACGGCGATCCTGTGATGCTGCAGCAAGTCAGCAACGCCCCAGCAACCGTCAAAAGGATGGACTGTGGTTGTCATGTGGGCCTTACCAGGTGACCTGCGACGATATGAGTAGGAGTCGCCATCGCGACTCCTGCCCGGGGAGCCATAGCCGTCATATGAATCCATCGTCAGGGTAGTAGCCAGCTATTCAGAACAGCCTTGATTACGGGCCGTGATCTTCTCCAAGAGCTCGTCGTATGCTTAGTCTTGTGACGCCGCGGTAGATGCGACGCTCATGTAACGCCAAGCGCAGAGAGGCAGCTGCGGACTCCAGTTCGAGGGAAGAGGAAACGGGGACGTGCGAGTAAGCTAAGAGCCGACATTGTGAGCATTAGATCGAGTCTAGAAATGGACAAGTGACGGGTGGTGTTTCATGTAGATGCAGGGTAACAGAAGAGACAAGGGCAGGCCAAAGAGAGAAGAAAAATAAGAGAGGTGTCTCGAAGATGGAGGAACTATATAATCAAGGCACAAAGGAGGTAGGAAGCTCATGCGAGCAGGTTGATGGGGAGAGCAGGAAGGAGTGTTGCGCAGCAGTGACGCATTGAGGCGGTCGGGCGCTGATTATTCGCGAATGAAAGAAACATCAATGAAGAGAAAGATGAGACTGATGACAGATAATCTGAAGAAATGATAAGAGGCTGAAGGGGCTCGCTCCAGATGCAAGAAGAAAGATAATGCCGGGGGAAAGGGGGATTCTCGTAAGAGACAAGGGCAGCACACGGACACGAGACAAAAGAAGGTGAAAGGGTAGGCAACCTACAAGAAGCCCAGACAAGGAGACGATGATGTGGTTAATTCCCGAGCACGTCAATCTGCGTGCAGATGAACGTGTGAAGCCAACCCGGGGAAGGTCTGGGTCTGGATTAGCTGGTGGAGGGGAGTTGTAGAAGGCAAGAGAGCGGAGGGCGGCTGGAAGCTGATGACTGGGCTCTGGCCGGCGCCACTAGTGCCGGATAGGCATCGCGCGTGACTGGCGGCACGTCCCGGACTGTCGGAGCTGAGATACCTCAGAGCAGCATCAGTGTTCCGCCAACTAGAAAAATCAAGAGAATACGTTACGGCCGATTCATATGGATTTATTCCATTTCAGTCATCCTTAAGCTCCTTCCATGAGGGTAGCTACAAGACGACTACATCAAGAAGCGCCACGTCCATAATCAAGCTCGCGATGTCCGGACAAGCAGCAAATCTACAGACGAAGCCATCCCATCGAGATTTATGTCCGCAAAGGGTTTCGTAATATTTGTACATGCTATCAAGGAGAGATTCCCTGCTGTATTCACATACAAGCCACACGGAAAGCTTATTCGGAAATATGGCAGAAAGCATGAGGTACAACAAATGCCAGGATCAGAGAAAAAAAAAGTGTATCTTTTGAATATATAAGAGACCTCCAGCCCAAAGCCCCTGGGATGCGGTGACCGACAGGCAAAGATACAATTTCGGTCGCTCGAGTCAAGCCACCCACGTCCAGGTGCTAGAGAAATCCGAGAAGAGAGGAGGGGTGAGGCATTACAAACGGAAAGGCCACAAATTGGGTTGAAAAAAAAATAAGAGAAAACAACAGTAAACAAAACAACATAGAGGTTAAAAATTCGTCAAATCAAGAGAAAAGGATGGAGTCGAGTTGAAAAGCGAGCGTTAGAAGCGAAAGAAGCATAAATTGCGGGTATTCCCAACCCAGAACCCAAAGCCAAACCGACCACTGATGCTGCAGAATAAAAAAAAACACACATAACTAAACAGACACATAAAACAACCACACCTGCTTTCGCCGGCAGAGTCCTGCATGAGTAGATCATCCTAGAGTCCTCTGTGTCCTCTCAGAGACTGCAACTCTGCCATGCCCATTCTTCCTGTCGTTTCTCATTCATTCTGTTTTTACCAGTGATGGATACCCTCTCTAATGGCCCAACCCAAACCCGAACATAGCGTGAAAGCAATCTCATCATATGACACCTCATGAGATGAAAGACACTGCATAGCGGTGCCAAAGGCCGTCAGAGAACATTTGCAAGCGTCTAGGCGACCGAGTCACTAGGAACCACTGCTCTCAGCCCGGAGAAAAGCGAGAACTTGATTTCGTCGGGACATCAAGTAGTGGAACCACGTGACTTATTCACAATCATGGCCATCGCTCGTTCAACAGCCCGTTCAGCCATTGCGCATAACACTCGGGTTACTAGCAATGACTAGAAAGTGGTATCCACTAGAGGAAAGCTGAACTAGCAGGTAAATCATCTCATGAGGTACAATGCAGGAATCCAACACCACAAATCACCACAAGGAACATGGGGAAGGGGAAAAAACAACAGTTGCAACAATAAAACACCATTCCACCCAGAAGAACACTATAAACACAAACATGTCATTGATGGAAACAGGTGCAATTTGATGGAACAACCCGGGAAAACATAATGGACAGGGGGGAGGGAAAACACAACCAAGATGAAAAGAATAGTGCCCACATCGCTTGCTGGGGAAAGGGGGGGGGGGGGGGGGGGGAAATGAGAAAATAATAACTGGACGTCCGGAAGTGCTGCCATGAAGGAGGGGAGGCACATCATAAATGGAAAGGCGTCAAGAAACGCAAACGGGGGCGGCGGTAGGTCGACGACGCGAGAGGCGCTACGCTGGATACTTCAACCGTCTTCATCCGAAGGCTCGTGGGATTCGACGCCTTCGCTCTCTTCAGCGCTCGCGCTCGTCTTAGTCTTCTTTGCAGGGTTGTCGTTGCCATCGTCAGCCTCAGATTTTCGTTTCTGTGCCGACGAGTTGTTCTCACCGGCTGGTTTGGCCGCATTTTCGCTAGCATTTTCTTGTGCGGCCTGCTGGGCCTTTTGTTTCTCCATCTGCGCCACCTCTTCCGCGGTTAAGAACCGACCGCCCGGGCCCCGAGGCCGCCTCATGGCATGGTTATGGCGGGATTCATGCAGGTACGGTTTCCGACCCTTGGACGTCAGCCTCAACTGTTCCTCCAACTTCTGTCGAGCAACCCGTCGTTTCAGGATCCGGTGGAACTGTTTGGCGTTGACATAGAGCGGTGACTCCTCCGCAGGTCCTGCCACCCCTTCTGGCGAAGTTTGCGTTTGCTGGACCTGGGGTTGCGGTGGTGGTGGCATGGACTGCGGTACTCCCGGGCGACCAACGTGGTTCATGACTGGCTGCGCGTTAGGAACATGTGGGCTACCCACATGTTGGCTCATGCGACGAGGTTGCTGCATCTGGGCGTTCTGCGACATCTGCACCTGCGACGGAATTGAGGGCATCTGGCCGGAAACCTGGGTAGGAGATCGGGGGTTCCGCTCGTTTTTCACTTGCACGCCAGTCATTCGCGGAGAGCCGCGAGGCCCTTGAGCCATTTGTCCAGCCATAGAATCCTGGTGCATGGGGTAGAATTGCCCTGAGGCCGCCGCAGTGGCCATGGCAGCTGCCTGGGTCGGAGAGATGGCATACGCCTGGGGCATCGTGGCGGTGACTCCGTACGGCTGCGGAAAGTTCATCGATTGATGGACCGTGCCAGGAGCATTCTGAGCCTGTTGATAATGACCCTGTGGCGGTAAAATGGGAGATGCCTGGTGGTTGGGATGCGGTTGCTGCATGTGCGTCTGGGGATTTGTCGGAGAGGTCATGGAGCCCACGGCCTGCCCTGCGTTCGCCTGGGCATTCTGATACGGACCGGTCATATGGGACTGAGTGTGATGTTGCCCGTGAGGCTGTTGATATTGAGGAGGATATTCCATCTTGCAGCGAGTGTAGTTATGGTGACGGCGCTTGGACGCCTTCCGTCACAGCGCGGTTTGCACCCACGGTATGGTAGAACGTCGATGGTGCAAACCGAGCCAAACAGCCCAATCACTGGGTAAGGAGGAAAGATCGCGCGTCAAGCCGCGACGAAGGATAAGTCGAGAATTTCAAGTCGACCGTTTATCCTTGAGGACGCCGCTCTTCTTCGCAAGGACACTGGGTGAAAGGTTGCGCGAGAAGGAAACGGGATTCAAAGCGGTAGGTATCTAAGCGACTTGATTCGACACCCTAGATGCGAATGCCTGCAGCCCCGAAGTTCGCGTCAGCACTTACTGCAGCGCCGAACGGTCACTGGACCTCGGTGTGGGACGAACGAGCGCGAAAGACGACGAGTAGCTGAGTGGAATGACGGAGCACGTACCTTTTTGCTTTCTTCTTCACCAATACAATGTTACTCGGAAATAAATCAAAGTCTAGCAATCAAAGACTCGGTTTGTTGAACTCGCCGGAAACAAATCTCTTTCACGGCGACCCTGGGGGTCTTTTGTGCAATCCTTTCGCAATGCGCCGGGGTGTAGACGTGGTCGGGCTCTGATGCAGCGGGCCAGGGTTGGACGACCGGAGACACCGTAAGGTGATGCGTTGTCAGAGTGTAAAAAAACAATATCGAGGACCTGATCGTGGCGCAGGGACCTGTCTATCGCCAGCGCAAGGCGAAATTCAGAATCAGAAGCAATTACGGAATCTATTCCGACCAGCGCTAGAGGGCTACTATCTGTCCCTTCGCCTCTTTCCCCCTCGTCGACCCTGGTTAATATGGCCTCAATCCTGTCCTTCCAAAGGACAGAGGTGAGAAATGAGGCGGTGTCAGCGGCTCAGGCTTGTAGCCTGACCAAGTCTCTCGATCGGATGCCTTAGGTACCAAAGAGGCTGGAGGAGGGGCCGCGCGGAGAATGGACAGTTGATGTCAGATACGCTTTAGTAGGCTTCGCGACACGAGTACTGTTCAGCAGTCAGTATACCTCCGCCAACAATGGACCTCGATGCGCCTCTGGGAGCCGACGACTGGTGGGGAAGGAGACGAGAGACAATGGTGGGGGGGGGAAGCATTGTGTCGGGCCAAATTTGGGGATGTATGCGTTGGCAAATGCGGGAGCTTCATGCAGCCCAAAGACATACCTTGTCGATCCGGTCAGCGCTCGTTAGGCGACAAAGGTGTTGTCCTTTTAAAACGCGGCGCGCGCGCAGAAAGATCCCAGGTCGATTGCTCTAATGCAATGAAAAGTCGGGGGGATTAAGACGCGACAACAGCGCAAGACAGAGCAAAGCCGAAAAGGAGGCCGATATAGATGTGATGATGACCAAGTGGCGGACGCGCCGGTGTCGCGCGGGTCGCAAAACAGGGCGCTTGGCTCCGATGCAAGCTTGGCGGTGGACGAGGACGTAGAGATGCGCCGCGCAGTCACGGGACAGAGGGTTCTTCAAACAAAGGGAGCACCTTCTCTGATGCTGCGCGCACGCGACGTTAGTATGGGTTATTCCCAATCAGTGGATGCGATGGCGTCCCAGCGAGGGTTGGGGGGGGAGTTGGTGTGGCAAGCGGCGTGAGAGGGGAACTCGAGTCGCGTCACTGCAAACCAGCAAAACAACACCCAGTCTGGTTTGGGGCGCGGGCCTCGCAGCGGCTTAGTAATCACTCCCGCCGGGCCACAGGAGCAGCAGCGCGAACACGAGAACAAACAGTGCAAAGCACAAAACAGGACAGGGCCGATGATTTGGCCAGTGCTAGCTGCCTAATCGCCGCTAGCAGCTCGATGAGAGAGGGACAGGAGAGAGGGCGACAGGCCACGGCCAACCGGGTCCGCGCACTGCAGGCCGTACTGTTTTTCCACTTAGGCGCTGATGTCAGGACCCGGACGATCCGTGAAGAACCGCGGCCTCGTCACGCAGTACGGGTCCCGAAACAGGCCAAGAGTGCAGACCGCGATTGGGCCGGAGCACCGGCCAGGAAACAATTTGTGGGGGTTTGCCTGTCCCTCTGGTCGAGGACCACAAAGGATAGAGGCGCGAGAGCCGCACAAGAGCAATGGGGAGAGATGCGATGCGATGCAATGCCTAAGTCGCGCCTCCTGTGGCCGGTGCGCGCAAGGAGAGGGACCACGACCAGAGGAAAACAATAATAATAATTTTTTTATTATTATGATCCTCCAGTCGTGGTGGTTGGGGGAGTAAAAAAGAGGAAATTCAAGGGGTTTTGGATGCGTGGATTGGCAGGATCAAAAGGAAATTCACACGTACCTGCGACGATGATTTGCCAGACACGGGCGTCACGGCGTCTGAGAAAAGGCGAAGTATTTTGTTTGCGACTGCCGTCTATCAATCACCGTACCGCTGATGGCGCGGGGAGCGATGATTGGATTGGAGGGGTGTGGTGGATAGGACGAGCGATAGATTGAGAAGACAGAAAATGATGATAGGATGATGCTGGAGGAGCAGCAGAAAAATGGACTGGACGCTGGGGGATTGGGTGCTTCGCCGGGGGGGCGACGAGGCGGCCAAGTCGGATCTTGAGTGGAAGGCAGAGCAAGGGATTTGTCGGATTGGAGTGCTCGAGTCGCACGACGACCAACGAGAGAGAGCAGAGGGAAGGAAGCCGCTGCGAGGGAAAGGGCGGGCGATGGGGCATTTGTATTGGGCGCGCCGGAGGGGGGGCTGACTGGCCGGCGAGCCTGTTAGCCTGCCAGCGCTTAGCCTCTTGCGAGCATGCCCCAGCCCTGACTGACCACCCTAACGCGGTGGATATTCGATCTGTCCGGTGCACTGATGCCCATGTGTAGCATCGCGATTGTCGATGACGATCTTAGCAGCTGCCCGCACAGTGCACGCCCGCTAATCCAGCGCTACCTCAGCCTCCTCGATCATCAAGCACGCTGAATAATTTGGCGCATGGAGCTACAGTACCAGTGAATACGCTACAGAGACAGGCCGATCCGGAAGTGTACGGGAGATGCCGGCATAAACGCGCAGGAAAGAAAGAGGGGGGAAATTAGCGAAAAAAAAAAGAAAGAAAAATAGAAAAGGGGAAAAAAAAAAGAAAGAAAAACAGGCAAAAAAGGAAGGTGTCGATGACATGGGTGTAGGCTGTAGCTCTTACGGGCCGAGGGGTCGCTTCTTCCTTTCCAACCCGATCAGCCCGGCACACCCTCGTCAACACTGTGCAACTTCACGGCGTATCGCCCTGCATCCTGTTCCCAACCGGGGGGCCTGCGCATAGTGCAAAGTCTGCAATGAGAGAAATGTGGGCGGTGGTGATCTTACTACTGCCCAGAATACTCTGTACTGTGTAGTTCATCAAGGCCCGCCAAGTCTCGAAATTACTGAGCAATCGACCTGTGAGCGGGCGTCTGCCCCAAGGCCCTACGACCGGGGAACCTGGTTGTTTCCCTGTCATAATCGGCTTACCTGATCCTCGACAGCGTCTCTCCACAAATCACAGACTGCCCAAACAGCCCCTGTTTTCAGCCTGGTGATGCTGCTGAACGAGTTGACGCGTGAGATCAGATTCAGGTGGCTCGCTCGTGATCTCTGTCTATTACCGTCACAATACAAGGCGGTAATCTAACGCGCCGCTGGGGCCGAGTTCGTTCGAACAGGTCCGTGCAGATCTCGTGATCGATCCTCGGTTGAATTTCTGCTTCGGGAGATCTGCTCCATGCTACGTTCTCAGCTGCGAGTTGCCCACTGCTACTACGTCAGACGGATGGTACTTAGTCAAAGGCCTGATGAGCTTGGAACAGCTGCCAGATGAGTTGGTTGTATCTGCTGTAAGGAGTACCTCAGGTAATAGTTGTTATTAATGGCAGTCAAGAAATAAGCGACTATAATCAAGCGTGGTTTCCTTCATGGCCCCTACTCTGTAGTTGCTCCTCCCTCCTTCGGGAGGTAATAAAAATTGACCCGGCCCTCTCTATCGATCGGGCGATCGCTTGATCCGACTGTTGCATTCTTCGGACGCTCCGAGCAGACATTCTCTCCATGGCAAATCATCCCGCTCAGACCCGGACGAAAGGAGAAGGGAAAATGCGACAATAGGAATAATAACTACACTGTCGAGTCCAGCTCAGACTGTCATCAAAGAACACCCGTCATTACTGGTGTGAATGGATATCATATCGTATATACAGTACCTAATTTTATCACTGCTCGTTTATGCAGCTGATGAGATCCCCACGATATAAGGAATTGTTGCTATTTGCTTGCTTCCTTAACTGTATCACCGACAGGCTCCCAAGTTGCAGATTGCTCCACCTTACCGCCTCGATTTCGGACTTCCATTTTTATCTCATCTTGACCGCTGGATGCTAGATCTCTCTACTGTTCGGTGACTTCGGTCGGTGTACGAACCCGTAGGACCGCGAAGTACATGTACCGTGCATACATGCGCCACTGCACGTTGCTTGCACTGACCACTTAACTCTTTTTCCCCTTTTCTGTTTGTTTTCGAGAAAATTCGTGCAATAACCAGGCATCTGAGCGCCATTTAAATTGCTCCTCGATCCTGCAATCCCAATAACTATTGGGCTAGACAACGACAGCGGCAGAGTTATCGGAAAAAGCTGGAAAGCTCGTTCCACGGTCCCACCACCATACCCGCGATGACCTCAAAGCCCGCCAGCTGACGTCAGGTGTCACACTTGGGTTGTACAGCATGCTGCGGGATGAGGGGACTCGACACCGCTCCTTCTTGCTCACGAAGCCTCAAATTCTATAGTCAACTACAAATAGTGTAGAAGTGCGAAATACCTAGGCAGTGTTTTGTGACGAGGGAAGTCGCGTACAGAATACTGTATGCCATCAGTACAGACTTAGACGGCTACTCCGCTCCAAGAACGATAGGAGATTGACACAGGTCTGTGATTCCCTAGTTTCGAAAAGAATCAAGGCATGGATCACCTGATATCGGACTGCGTCAAGAGCAAAACCGGTTGTGAGTTTACCCACGTGCACTGCAGCATGACCAGCCACACAGCGGAGTCTCACAAGCCACTCTGGCTCTGGTCACTCTTTTAAGTTACTCCGTACAGTAGGCACATGTCAGGAGTTACTTCCCAAGATACACCTAGGACAGAGTATAGTCGCGTTATCCTCTTCGAACTTGTTTCTTTCATCATTGCTAGTGTCAATCAGGTGTATCTCTCCAATTTTTTCTGTTTCTTGCTCGAGTTCCTAAGATTGGTCATGCTATACGTGTTCCCGGATCGTCAGACACTCCTCTGAGGCAATGGGGAGAAATTATCTATATCCACATGGTTCCCTTCCCATATTAACATTCCGGATCGAGTACGCCGTTTTTATAGTGGAGAAACATTTGAATTTGCATTTGCAGACATAATGTTTTGTCATTCACGAGTTGAATCCCGTTTGCCTTATCTAACTTCGGAGTCATGTCCCGGAATGAATGGGATGGTCTGCCAGCATCAACAAGCAACGTGGTTTGTCCTGATCATCTTCAAGTCGTTTCCTTTTCGAGCAAGACAAATTGGCAGCCCTGGAGCATTCTTGGTTCACTCTTAGTCCGGATCCTCCGTTCAATGAAGCTCCGCGAAATACCCGCTTTCAGCACAGGCTGGGCGCGTCCCCACGGACACAACTTTGAAGAGCTAGCAATCAGGAGATACAGGAACCAGATCATAGACCCAGTGAAGCCATCAGTTGGCTATATTCCCCATGTCTACTCACATTGCACCAGGTTCATATCACGAGTCACACCCGAAGTGGCTCCAAACGGTTCGTGTTTTATCACAGCGGCCTCTACCGACAAGACCAGTTCGAACAAGTCATGGATAAAGGCATGGATTTCAGTCACATTGATAATAGGCCCCCACTGATCAAGCATCTATCCAACCACTGAGGTGAGCAAACCCACGAAGCGACAGGCAGCTGCACGCCACCGGAGAATATATACTGGGGAATAGACCTCACGGCGCTTCGGGGGGGCTACAGACCTTAGTAGCATGAACCAGTTTAGGCGCCATACCCGGGATTATTCTGATGCATCCGCGCCAGGATGCTCGAGCGTCGTCATGGGGCAAAGGCCTCCATCAGCAGCGGGGATCAGACAGATGGGGGGAGAAGTCGTATTTCTCCAGTATTGACTCCTCATAGGCGCCAGGTGAAACGGCACGTTCCATCAAAGCTCTCAAAAATGAGACTTGACATACTTCCCCGTCTGACAGCTGTCCAAATTGGTCGTTTTGCACCCGTGACGCCTATCTCTGGCTGCCCAATCAGCTCTGGAGTCGGGTTAACGCGGCTGATATACCACAATAGACACGGGTCCAGGCTCTCAGCTCGTTCACCTAGCTATTTGCGATACCAGACTATTGCAATTCCCAGAAATGAGGACACGACCGGACATGAAACTTGCTAGCATAGAGGCCTCCACCAGATGCGCGAAGCATGTTGGGAGACTCGTTGGGACCATCTTCCGTACCCAATCGGAACCCAAGATCCTTCTTTTCGACGGTGATAGGACAGACTGTCCAGCTGTCGAGCCGGGAACATCATGATCCAGTAAGCCTGCAGGTCGCCTATCTTCTAGGCAGCTAACAGAGGAGTAATCGCCTGCAAAGAACGGCCTCGCCATGTCTGACCTGATGAGGCTTACAGTCTAGGCTATCAGGCTGCATCTTTAGGGCCGTCCATCTGCTCTTTCACCTGGGTAACTTCCGCAAGGTGACGTTTTGGGACCCGCAAGGCTATTATTACTCCGATACTCTGTTTTCACTTGCTGCAGTGACCAGCACTGTTGATGAATAGCCTGTCAGGGGAGCTGAGACGGCAGGACACGCGAGAGAAGGGGATTATGATTTCTTTCGCTGGCCAGGAAGTGATTTCCGGCTGTTCAGGTACAGGTTATTGAGAGGATTCTAGAATTACTGGAATCTCTTTTCAGAGTAGACGAGGGTTCAGTCGGTTCTTCTCCGCCTGATACTTACGCCAGGTGTTTCGAGGAGCTGGCCTCCAGGTGCGATTTTACTCAGTCAAGCCTGAATATGGATTTTTTTTTCACAGCTTGCCTTCTTAAAAAATCAACATACGCCAACTCGAGAAGCAACAGTCCCGTCAGAGACTAGCAATCACACCGAACCTGTCTGGTCTAACCTAGTTCTATTCGAGAACTTACATCAAAGTATTTACGATATAGTAGGAGAGTTCATCATCATGCAGGTTGGGTCAGGAAACCATAGCGGAGAACAAAATTCACGCGGTGCTTGGGAAAAGTCGTAATATTTCGTGTAGAAGAGACAGCGCGCGTGGGGGGTCAAGAATGGTTTATATATATAGCTAACCCACTCGCAATGACAACTCATTAATTATACATGCTGTGGGGCAAGGAAGTAGCTGCATATCCAAAGATGCATAGCGGTAAACTATGCGTTAGGCTCGCTATACTTGTATAGTACGGAGTATACTATACATATACAACAAGACCATGTATGTATGTAACCCGATCAAGTTCAACAATCTACTAAATAGTAATTACCCAGCCTGTCCAGGTAATGACCTAACACTAGTCAGTGGTGTAAAAAAAAAAGGATGAAGAAACAGCTACATGTCCAAATATGACAGGCTGGTTTTTTTGTTTCATCTCCATTGTGTGTGGGAATGAGATGAGATATGTAACCGCTGTCGACCACGTCAGAGATCTAGGTATCTACCTAATCTACCTAAGTGGCAATGGAGACGGTGGGTGAGTGGGGTTACTGGTGATTGGATGCGGGAGGGGCGAGGGCTGCCCTTTTTTTTTCTTCGAGAATACTGTAGGTATTATCGTCAGCATCATCAACTTGGGTAGGTCTGTTGTATTTGTGTCTTATTGAGTAGTGTTTATGGCCACTTGGCCGGTTCTTATAACTTATGGATGTTCTTTATTGTTGTTGTTGAAATGTCTGTTTCTTTGTATGTATTATTTATTTTTTTTTTGCCGTGCTGGTGGTCTAGGTACTTAAATCACCTAATCAAGACAAGCCCTGCAAGTGCAACACCATGCCTATCTATACCTTGTAAGATTAATGCTTCTTGAAAAAAAAAGGGCAGCCAGGCTAGTAGATGTTAGTTCAGTTAGCATTGCAGGTAAAAAAAAAAGACAGGAAGAAAAAAAAAGAAAAGGGGGAAATGCGAGGCCTTGACAAAGAAAGTCTCGACGTGAAGAGGTTTGAACCTTTGACCTTATCTTTCTTATTTGTATACATACATTACTGTATATACCCAGCAAATGATATGCAAAGAGCGCTCTCCTGAGATATATAAGCCCAGACAGAGTCTGGAGTGTTTCGGTTTTTTTTTTGGTAGTGGTGGAATTTAGAAGAATCGAGTTGCTCACGTGATATCTACATACAAAGGCTAATAATATCTTCCATGGTTATGGTGCGCGGTTTCGGTTTTTAATTTTGGGGAGTGGGATAGAAGATGATTTTATTATGCAGTTTTGAATCTGTTGGGCAAATGCATCGGCGTTGTTGAGTTGGTAGTTTTCGTTGTGTTTGACCATGCTATGGGTAGTTAGTTATATATATTTACACCGGAGGTAGGTAGTTGGGAGTGGCTAATGATTCATCGATGATCTTGGCTCAAATGTCTTCAAGCAAAATCGACACTGGAATTACAAAGGTTGAATTAAATAATTCCAATAGTTGCATATTTTGTGACTGGATCCTTTGCATTTGTTGTTTGTATTGTATCTGCACGAGCTTAGTTCAAATCGAACAGTAAGGAAACACAAGGGTAAAAGTCCTATCCCATCACGAATCCGCAAACTTGGCTTTAATCATGTGTGCAGAAATCTTTGATCTGCAGAATTACACCTTAAAATAACTGCTGGGTCTTTGTATGTGCCTTGGTTTATGCTGCCGTATATGCTGCCTCTTCTGTAGTGACATCTGACCCAGAGTTGTAGCACTGATCATCTCAACAATGACCACAATAACCAGCTCCATATGTAAGGTATAAAGAACTCCCCAAAGAATTTTATAAATGCAATGCATATCCCGTGGGGCTGGTTGTTCGAAGACATCGGAATAGCTTAGCTAATGATATGCCGCTGAATCCCGCCCGACCCTTCCATGTGGCCTGTGTGGCTCCCCGTGCCGTTCCAGCGACTCGATCCATCAACAGACCCATCATTGCACCCTTACGCGTTTACACGTCTTATCGCAACGGCAGTTCCATGGACTGGGATTTAGGAACGGTATTTTCATGCTGATCTCAGGGCCTCCCAGATTTGGATACAGACGCGCCCCACATCGTGCATCCGATATATGACGCTTTTGTTGACCCTCGACCCCGAGCCCTGCCCATTGAATCACAGAGGAGCATCAGAGGCGACAGCTCATCCCGCCTAGAAGAGGGTGCACGGGGACACAATTCCATCGCCGCGCACCTGCTGGCGACGCTTGTCGCGGCGTTCGCGACTCGTCTTGCCGTATTGGCATACTTGCGCGACACCCGGCCTCCGGGAGGGACGCGGAGCCTCGCGAACGATTTGTCTGAAGAGTCCTGAGTGTATGGAAGACGGGTCACCATGGCTCCAGGCGGCGGAGGAAATATCAAGGTGGTGGTGAGGGTGCGGCCCTTCAACAGCAGAGGTTGGTCCTGTCGACACAAACTCCAAATTCATTCGACGTCCCTATATTCTGCCGCCTGCTAACTTTCGCTGCCACCCCCAGAAATCGACCGAGGCGCAAAATGTATCGTTCAGATGCAAGGAAACCAGACCATCATCACCCCACCACCCGGCGCCGAGGAAAAACTCCGTAAGAGTGGCATGAAGAGTGCTCTGGAGGGACCGAAAACGTTCGCATTTGACAGATCGTACTGGTCGTTTGACAGAAATGCCCCTAATTATGCCGGCCAAGAGGATCTTTTCAGAGACCTGGGAATACCACTACTGGACAATGCCTTTCAGGGTTATAACAACTGTATTTTTGCTTATGGCCAGACCGGTTCTGGCAAGTCTTATTCGATGATGGGTTACGGCAAGGAACACGGTGTGATCCCGAATATTTGCCAGGAGATGTTCAGGCGCATTGAGGAATTGCAGCAAGATAAGAATTTAACTTGTACGGTCGAAGTCTCATATCTTGAAATTTACAATGAACGCGTGCGGGATCTGCTCAACCCGACCACAAAGGGAAACCTCAAAGTGCGAGAGCACCCTTCCACTGGTCCATATGTCGAAGATCTTGCCAAGCTCGTGGTGCGCTCGTTCCAGGAAATCCAAAATCTTATGGACGAAGGTAACAAAGCCAGAACTGTCGCCGCCACCAACATGAATGAGACATCCAGTCGATCTCATGCCGTCTTCACCTTGACCTTGACACAGAAACGGCACGATGCGGAAACGTCCATGGATACGGAGAAAGTGTCGAGAATCAGTCTGGTCGATCTGGCAGGCTCGGAGAGAGCAACGTCTACCGGTGCTACTGGCGCTCGGCTGAAGGAGGGTGCCGAAATCAACCGTTCTCTGTCTACCTTGGGTCGTGTCATCGCTGCGCTTGCAGATATGTCTTCTGGCAAGAAGAATAAGAATGCCCTGGTTCCCTATCGTGACTCAGTCCTTACGTGGCTGCTTAAGGACTCGTTAGGAGGTAACTCCATGACGGCGATGATTGCGGCCATTTCGCCCGCCGACATCAACTTCGAAGAGACTCTCAGTACTCTGCGATATGCCGATTCTGCGAAGCGAATTAAGAACCACGCAGTGGTCAATGAAGACCCGAATGCCCGTATGATCAGAGAACTTAAAGAGGAGCTGGCTCAACTGAGAAGCAAACTTGGGGCTGCGGAAGCAGGTGGATCTGGATCTGGGGTTCCAGCGGAGGAAAATTACCCTCCTGACACCCCTCTTGAGAAGCAGATTGTGACCATTCAGCAACCAGACGGCACCGTGAAGAAGGTCAGCAAGGCGGAGATTGTCGAGCAACTGAATCAGAGTGAGAAACTTTATAGAGACCTCAATCAGACCTGGGAAGAGAAACTGGCCAAGACAGAAGAAATACACAGGGAACGTGAGGCCGCTCTTGAAGAACTGGGTATCAGCATCGAGAAGGGTTTCGTGGGTTTGAGCACGCCGAAGAAGATGCCACACTTGGTCAATCTCAGCGACGATCCCCTCCTGGCGGAATGTCTCGTCTACAATATCAAACCTGGGAAGACCAGGGTGGGAAACGTGGATCCAGAGAACGCTTCAGAGATCCGACTGAACGGTTCCAAGATCCTCCACCATCACTGCACGTTCGAGAATGTGGACAACGTCGTGACAATCGTGCCCAACGAAGGTGCCGCGGTTATGGTGAATGGATTGCGGATCGACAAGCCGACTCGTCTCCGAAGTGGCTACCGCATCATTCTGGGAGATTTCCATATTTTCCGCTTCAACCATCCCGAAGAAGCCCGTGCAGAACGGGTGGAACAGTCTCTGCTACGTCATTCCGTCACTACCAGCCAGTTAGGCTCACCTGCACCTAACAAGACTCATGATCGGACGATGAGCAAGGCTGGATCGGAGGCTGATGGAGATTCAAACAGGGCTGATTCTCCCATGCCCTATTCGCGCGGTCGGGACTCGGACTGGTTCTACGCTCGCAGAGAAGCGGCAAGTGCGATCCTGGGGACTGATGTGAAAATATCGCATCTCACGGATGACGAGTTGGACGCGCTGTTCGACGATGTGCAGAGGGCGAGAGCGGTTCGACGAGGCCTGGTTGAGAATGAGGAGGACTCTGACTCGCTCAGCTCATTTCCCGTCCGCGACAAGTATATGTCAAACGGCACCATCGACAACTTCTCTCTCGATACCGCGATCACCATGCCAGGCACCCCTCGTCAAGGTGACGATGAAGCGGCCAATGGTGATTCGACACTGCAAGCGACGCGCGACGATATGCAGCGGCAGTTAGACCAGCAGAAGGCGGAGTATCAAGAGAAGCTGAAAAGCGCCGAAGCTTCGTCTCAGGACGTGGAAGAATTGCGCCAGGAGAAAACTCGCATGGAGGAGGCTCTCAAGACGGCCAAGGCGGAGTTTGAGGAACAGCTCAGGAAACAGAAAGAGGAGTTTGAAAGCCACATCAAGGAAATGGGGCAGCCTGTCCCCAAAATCTATGAGAATGGCTTCGCCAGGCTCGAGCCACGAGAAATCGAAATCGCGAAATCGGTGTTCAGCCACTGGTCGCAGCGAAACTATGTGCGCATGGCCGAGTCCATTCTCCAGCACGCTTCTCTGTTGAAGGAGGCGCAGGTCATGAGTCAGATCATGGACAAGAATGTTGTATTCCAGTTTGCAATCATTGACAATGGCCACAACATGGCTTCGTCATATGATTTGGTTCTCAATGGCATCTCGGGCGAAGACGACGCTGCATTGGACGAGGCGAAGAAGCCATGTGTCGGGGTCCGTGTGATTGATTACAAGCATTGCGTGATTCACCTCTGGTCGATTGAGAAACTGCGGCGTCGGGTTCAAGCGATGCGTCAGATGCATCAATATATCGACCGCCCGGACTACATCCAGCACTTCAAATTAGAGAACCCGTTTTCTGAGACATGTCCGGCGCAGTATTCCCTCATAGGTGACGCAGATATTCCTCTCACTGCCGTATTCGAAACCCGTGTTCAGGACTTTTCGGTCGAGGTGATCTCGCCTTACACTCAGAGTGTGATTGGGATCATCCGGCTGTCTCTGGAACCATCTTCTGCGCAGGCGCCTTCTTCCACATTGAAATTCAACGTGGTGATGCGGGACATGGCTGGTTTCGCAGAACGCGAAGGTACGGATGTCCATGCGCAGCTTTTCGTCCCGGGTATCTCTGAAGAAGGTGGCGCTACGACGACCCAGATGATCAAGGGGTTTGACGAGAACCCGGTTCGATTTGAGAGTGTGCACAGCATGAGTCTGCCTCTGTCCAGCCCTCGGACTGCCACATTAAAGGTGTGTATTTACGCTCGTGTCACGACCATGCACCTGGATAAGCTCCTCAGCTGGGACGACATGCGTGACTCTTCGGAGGCTCCTAGCAAGAAACGGAAGACTCCCCGGCTTGCTGAAACTGAATTCTATTCCGAGGAACGACATGATGTGTTTGCGAGAATCCAAATTCTTGAGCTCGCGGAGTCGGGTGATTATCTTCCCGTCGAGGTCGTGCAGAGCAGCAGCTTGGACGCTGGTACGTATCAGCTGCATCAGGGTCTGCAACGGCGGGTTGTGATTCATCTTACGCACAGCTCCACGGAGAGTTTTCCGTGGGACGACATTACGAATCTCCGCATCGGATCAGTCCGCCTGCTCGACCCATGGGGCAAGATCCCGGACCAGGACTTTCAGACGCCGGACGTCCCATTGAGATTGATCCAAGAACCAGCGATCAAAGATAACGCCGACGGAACGTCCAATGTGACTATCATTGGCCAATGGGATTCGAGTCTGCACGGTTCGCTGTTGCTTGATCGCACCACAGCCGATAAATATCGCGTACAGGTATCGCTGCGCTGGGACCTCATCTCTTCGCGGGTGCAGGACCCGATCACTTTCGAAGTCGATCAGACTTTGCAGATTCTCGGACGGTCATATGTCCGCCCGCAATCGTTGTTCAAGCAGTTCTGGAACACCACGCGAGTGGTGCACTCGACGGTGGGCATGTTTTCGGTGGCCATCCGTCCGGTCTCTGCCAAACGGGCAGCGGATCTCTGGCGGATGAACACGCAAAACGATTATGTGAAGGGTGAGGAACTTCTGGGTAACTGGGCTCCGCGGAAAGTGTCCCTCGTTCGTGATTTTATTGCGACTCGTAAACGGCGGCAACGTGCGGCGGAGCTGGACGCGGCCAGGGGGGCTCTTAGTGCGGATAGCTTGGTGGTGTCGCCGGCCAGGAGTGGTCGATCGACGCCGATGCGCAACCAAGAGCTGTCGGAACGGCAAATCAAGCTCCTACAGAAGTATCTTGGTCTGTGGTCGACGAGAAAGGATCCTACGGAGGCGATCCTGGTGAAGAGCAACACAGAGCAACCGGCGAACGGTGCGGCGTCAGCGAAGCCGGCAAAGGAGTCTGCTTCGGATGATGCCAGCGAGGCCTCGGATCACAGCCCGCCGAAGCCGCGGTATCTTGCGACGGTACAGACTATATCGAAGAACCCTTCGGTGTTGAAGTCAGGCTATCTCTTGACGCCTGATGACACGAACAGCCATTGGATTCGACGGTTCGTCGAGCTTCGGCGGCCGTACCTCCACCTGTATTCTGTTCCGGACGGGGACGAGATCAACGCGATCAACCTGCGGCACGCACGCGTGGACCATGAGCCGGACTTTGCGCGTCTTCTGGATGGATCTGGCGCGGGGGCGGACACGCGCGGACGGCCAAATATCTTTGCGATTTACTGTCCACAGAACACGTTCCTCTTTGCAGCGCGGACGGAGGCGCAGAAGGTGGAATGGATCTTGAAGATCGACGAGAGTTATTTCAGTAGCAATGGCAGGGATGCGCGCGATCGATAGAGCCTTCTGCCTGCCTTCTGTCTGCCTTTTTTTTCATGATACCCTTGATTTTTGTTGATGCTGTGACGGCTGTCCTGTTTGTCTGATGTCTTCGAATTTAGATGTTGCCTTGCCTGGAACTTGACTAACCCAACCGTATTTTTTTTCTTCCTTTCCTTTTTCTTTTCCTTTCCTTTTCCTTTTCTTTCTGTCTTTCATCCTTTTTTGAGATACCCCTGATAAAACATACAGCGTGTAAACGCTCCGCCAAGCCGATGTTTTGTATTTACCTCTGTATATAACCTGTGAAATAGATGCCGGCTGTAATATTAACTAACTATAACTATCTGCGATGTTGTGAGGCAGTGGCCATTATTAGGAATCTATCTAGATCGGGGCATGATGTCTTCATCGTCACTGATGGGGCGGGCAATCATGTTCAATTTTGCATCATTGATACATGCCTTCACTACTGATCTCTTAATCTTCACTACGAAGGCTGTTGCTGGATTCACTTGTTATCACCTCGTCACTGTCACTCCGATGCTCGAGATGTGTACTTGCCTAATTTGGAAAGAGGCAGTTACTGCCCAGTACTCCGTAACTTCCCTCTATATTACTGCTGTCTTCACTGTCGGCTGACCATATGGCACTCCTTTCCTTTACTCCTTCTACCCGCACATGTCCTTTGCACTTTCCCTTTTCATCTCAATGTAGACAATCAATAGCCGTGATAAAACAAGACTGTTGACTTCATAGACTCCTGGACATTTTCACCATCCCAACGCAAGAAGCGAAAGCGCCAAAATTTGCTATAACATCAATTAAAGATTTTTAAAGATAACTCGATTTTCCTTTTCTTCACTTTTTTTTTTAGAAAAAAAGATGGAATCCGCTTGGTTGGGTCAGCGAGCAACCTGAAGATTTCGGACGTGGAGACCATCTTTGGTCTGAGAAGAGACCACCGCAAGAAGATCTGAAAACTTGATTGTGTCAATGAAGTGCCAGAAAGCCTTTGTAAGTGTACTTATCTATTCTGTTCTTTTATTAGTCCCCCTCCTCCTTCTTTTCCTTCTTTTCCCCTTTCTTGATTCTAATAAAATTTAGACCAGAGGCTTGACACGATCTCGGCGGCCCTGGGGAACGACCCCAGTAATGAGGCAACATGCAGAATGAGACTGGATGCTATACTGGTCGAGTGTGGGGCCCAGGAGCTGGTCCGAGTTAAGAGTGAAAAGCAGAAGGATGAATGGCTTGACCCAAAGCCTATCTCCTTAACTGCTGAGACAAACCTCCAGCTCAAAGTTACCTACAAAAAGGAGGAGAGAATGCTGAATGGTCAGTCCGATTACACCATTTGGTACGATGACCAGACAATGGGCACCAACCTCGTGATAATTGAGGCCAAGAGGCAGCTAGCACATATGCTAGCCATTCCGCAGTGCCTGGCCTATATGGGTGTGTTATTTCGTCCTATAATCCTTTTCTTTCCTTTTGCAATCTAAGATTTCTAATTATATATTATAGCCATGGTACATTCTATCCGGAAAACTGAAGGACTTGAGAACAGCATCGTATTTGGATGCTGTTCTGACAGTTTTCACTTTGTCTTTCTGCGGATAGACAACGAGGGAAAGGTAAGGCTCCAGTTTTAGATTTTGCTTTTGATTCCCCTCCTCTTTTTAAATTGTATTATTGCTAACTTTTAATTTAGTACCCACAGTCCCGGTCGATTGGATGGGCAGGAATTCCTCGCGATCGCTCCAAGATATGGACGCACTTGTGCCATATCCTCGCAGCGGCGTCAGCGTCATCACCAAGATGTTCGCTGAAAACGGTTCGGAGGATGATTGACAAATCGGCACAGGGGCGGGCCTACTACCGACTCCAGTATGGGAGTCAGGAAGATGAGGAGATGATCGACGGCCCCTAGGGATGAAGCCGAGATGGCATCCCGTGTGTGTATGTGTATAGGGGTGAAGCCGCTGAGGCACCCCATGTGTGAGTGCTTGTGTGGTTGTAGGGATGAAGTCAGAAGGCGTCCAGTATGTTTGGCATGGTCGGCCAGAACGTAGTGCTCTTTGCCTGTTTTCCAGCACGTTTGTATGAAGTTATCCTGTATTGCTGGATAGACTCTAGCTTTAGTACATTGCTGTATACCTTACGGGCACAATAACCTTGATTCGACTGGAGGTGTTACAGAATCATGAACTCAGTTTCTGATGCGGCTCGTAATACCCCTCCAACGAATACAACACCCACACTCCATCGTACACATAGTGTACCCCTATCTCTGGATAAGTCCTCCATTTTTTTTCAAATGGCCAGCAAGTCCTCACCAGGACTTTGAGCAACACTTATAAAACAAGGATGACTAATTATAGCAACAATCAAGTTTGCATTGTTATAACAGCTTTTTCTCCGTCACCATACTCAGCATTTGATCCAGCCGCATATATATATTTTCTTACCAAAGCATCCCCTCCCTTGCCGTGTCTCATTCTAGAAGGGTCCCATATTCCATTCCTTAATCTAATTAATAGAGTATGCGGCAGGTAAAGATATTTGATTAACCGGAGGCGTTGCAAGTTCAAGTCTAGACAGATTTAAATAGAACGGCTGTAATAAACTAGATAAATAAATGTTACTTTGACGCACACATTCCTCACCTAATAGTACCTCCAAGAGGTGCGCCTCGTGACGAATCTGGATTTCTGGTGATTCCAACCTATACGCAGTATAAGTTCCTGTACCTGCGGAATTACTCTTAATGATCATTGATGCAAAAAAAAATCTACATGAGAAAACTAGGAATTTTAGAGGTTGGGCAAAAGTTAACCTCTAATATAATATCTTTGGCTTAAAGGCTGCTCTGCTGTTGCTATAATAATCTCTGAGGAGGGAGATAAGGAGGAAGGTTGACGCGCCAATCCGGAAAAGAAATGAATTTCGGATCTCCGTATAACTATAACCCACCTACCTACCTGGGTAGGCAGTAATAATAATATCCCCTTCCCGATGCAGTACTGATAGTCGGGGGGAGTTCTTGGCCCAACACGGGAACCCACCAATCAGGGTCGGGGATTGGCATCAGCCGCGCGGAAACAAGAAACCGAACTGGAGACGCAAACGCAAGCGGAGTTAAAAACGGACTCGCGCCTATCGGGATTCGGCATCGTCTAGTATAGGTAATCTTACTCCGTAATGAATCGGTATCCATGGATACCGTTTGGTAGAACTTACATAGGAGGTGAATTGATTGCTGTCGGGACGAGAGAAAAAAAAGAAATAAAATGAACACGCATTGTTAATAATTTTTATTGATCAGAAGAGGTCTAGTGATACCTTTGAGCTGGCTAATAATAATAGAATAATTTTATTTAAATGATAGTCGACAGACTAGGAGGAACTTGTGCTACCTAACCCACCCCCGTGGCCCGCTCTCCCGACCGACAGACGAACGACCCGCAGCACCAGTGATTATTGGGGCCGCTCCCACTGCCTTACGTACGCTGTCAGACGCAGTCTGTCTTCTGGACAGCGATTGAAGTTTCATTGAACGAGCCTCTGTACAGACAGTTTGTACTCTGTGTTGTACATACGCTGTTTGTCTTATCTGGATATACGACTGTTAATACTCTCTGAGAAACGAGATGACGAGATGAATGGCTTGATCTGATCTGATTGATTGTTCTCTCTCGACAGCACAACGGACGCAGACTGCGCTCACGAGAAGACAGCTCAGAGAGAGAGAGAGAGAGAGACTGTGTGTCCCTCTATGGAGGAGAAGTACATCGAAAAATGTCCATCATGATGCCCCTTCGCCTCCGCTTCCTTGTCCTCGGCGGCGGTCTCTTGCTCGTCGTCGCGGCGTTCCTCGTCTTCGGGTTCCGAAAATACGATCATTACAGTGTTGATCTTGGCGATGGTGGGATTGGGTCTGGGATTGGGAAGAGCTTGTTCTTCAAAACGCCGCCGTTGTCACGTCCTCATCCTTCTCCTCCTGATCAGGACCATCGAACATGTACGCCACCAGCACAACCGCAAACCGACAATAATGATACCTGGGAATTCATCGCCAGCCGCGACGGCGACAATTACGGCCTGTCGGACGAGCAGTGCCAGATCGCGTTTCCAAAACTGTTCGTCGAGATCGACAAGTCTGTTGCGCTGCGCGCCGGCGCGAACAAGCCCATTACGTGGAAGGAGTTGAACTCGAGGAAGGTGGGAGATGGCCTGGTGCGGGCGATTGTTGATCGAGGGGAGGTGAGTCTGCTGTCGCTGTTTGTTGTCTGCATACTGATAGCCATGCTAGCTGTATATCGTCGACTTCGGAGACATGCCCTACACCTTCACCCGCGCCAAGGCGACGCTGCACTCGCTCCACCGCGCCCTCATCGCCGTCCCCAACCGGCACGAGCTGCCCAGCGTTGAATTCATCTTCTCGACCGAGGACTTCGTCGTCGACACCGACAAAGGCCCCATCTGGGCGTACTCCAAACGCGACGAGGATGACGCCGTCTGGCTGATGCCCGACTTTGGCTTCTGGTCGTGGCCCGAGGTCAAGGTCGGCCCCTACCGGGACATCCGCCGGCGGATCGCCGCCGTCGACGACGGCCTTGCCTTCCGTGACAAGAAGAAGCAGCTCCTCTGGCGCGGCAGTCTGGCGACGGCGCCCGAGCTGCGCGGCAACCTGCTCGCCAACACGCGCGGCAAGCCGTGGGCCAGCATCCGCGTGCTGGACTGGAGCCAGAGCGACGACAACGACAAGAGCAACGTGCTGCCGATGGAGGAGCACTGCCGGTACATGTTCCTGGCGCACACCGAGGGCCGCTCGTTCTCCGGCCGCGGAAAATACCTGCAGAACTGCCGCTCGGTGGTGATCGCCCACCAGCTGGTCTGGCGCGAGGCGCACCACGCGGCGCTGGTCTCCTCGGGGCCCGACGCAAACTACGTCGAGGTGGCGCGCGACTTCTCCGACCTGGAGGAGAAGATCGAGTACCTGCTGGACCACCCGTTCGAGGCCGAGCGCATCGCCAACAACAGCGTCGCCACCTTCCGTGACCGCTACCTGACCCCGGCCGCCGAGGCGTGTTACTGGCGGTACCTGATCCGGCAGTACGCCTCGGTCTGCGCCTTTGAGCCATCGCTGTACGAGACGGACTTTTGGGGGCGCCAGACCATGCGAGCCGTGCCGTACGAGTCGTGGTTGTTGATGGAGTCGTCGTGATCTATATTCATTTATTCGTATATATGTATACACATATACACCTGCAGATACCTACTATATATACCATATCATATACATATCTCTTATATATAGGTACATGTACCTGCACAGGTGATCTCCTGGTTGATGGAAGGGTTCATGAATGGCGTTTGGTGGAATCTAACTCTTCTCGGGTTGATTTACTTACTGTCTGTCTGTCTGTTTTCCTTTCTTTTCTTTTCGTACTACTTCCACGAGATATATTTCGATAACGTTAATGACATATGAACGAACTTCTAAGAACTACAGGAACATGCTCAGACTTTGGACAATATTAACCAAATGGTATATATAATATAATATAGACTATTGCTCTCGTGTACTCCAATCCAGTATCCAAATCCAGCCAGTTGCCAGCAGCTCTCCAGAGTTGATAAGATGAGATAGATGACACAGGGTCGGTGGTATAAAAAAGCTAATTCTCAATATGTTCAACGAATGGAACAGATAGCCCGTACCCTTGGTAGTGATCGTTTTTGTACCTGTTGACTTGCCAAACCTCTTTGCGAAATGTCCTGTCAGCGAGTGATGGCGACGGTAGAGCGAGTGAGGAAGCCAGAGTGTTGAGAAAAAAAAAGATATGCGTCGAATTTGTACAGAGCTAGACTGCTAGACAAAAAGTAACAATGGCGGAGGCGATAAAGAATAGAAAGAAAAAAAAATAGTCTCAGGAAACAGGCCAAAAGATGCTTGCTCGTTCAGGCAAAGTTGATTGTTGTCCCCGAGATACCGAGATCCGCCGCATACGTGCATCGCTCGTTGTTGTTGCAGAAGCCGTGGAAGAGCATCCGATCACCGCAGCCGCACACCGTGCCTCCTCCCGGCGACGTCAGGCCGTAGTCGCCCGTCTTGACCAGCTGCACCCCTGTCTTCGTGTACGGGCCCGTGATGGACGAGGCTATCGCATAGCGCACGTCGTACTTGGGATCCGTGAAGCAATGCGTCGAGTAGAACAGGAAATAGGTGCCGTCTTTCAGAATCAGGTTGGGCGCCTCGACCAGCGGACCGTCGCTCTCATCGCGATCCAGGATCTGGACGGCGTCGCCCACCGGCGTGATGGCGTCGTCGGCGACCTTCTGCAGCATGATGGGCGTCGGCACGAGGGGCGGGACTCCGTTGTTGCAGTCGCCGCCGTGGCCGACGCTGTTTCCGTCGATCTTGTAGACGACGTAGCGAGAGCCGTCTTTGTCGAGGAAGCCGGACGGATCAATGGCGCCACCCTGGTCCAGATGGCATGCGAACGGGTTCTCCTGTGGAATGTACGGGCCTACCGGGTCGGTCCCGACAGAGACGGCGACGCCCACGCAGTGATGTCGCACCATCTCCTTGGCCTCGCCTGAGTAGTACAGCACGTACTTGCCGTCATTCTGCAGGACGAGCATGAGCAAAAAGCCCTCCAGGAAAGACGAATAAAAGGCCAACCTACCCGTCGAATCACGTCAGGCGCCCAATGGTCCACGTCCGTCTCCCAGCCGGCCAACGTCGGCAGGGCGTCCACGTCCAGCAGCGTCCAGGTCTGGAAGTCGGGCGAGTGCGCTACCTGGATGTGCTTGCCGTTGCCGTTGGTGCCAAAGGCATACCACGTCCCGTCGGTGTGCTGGACGAAGCTGGGGTCGGGGAAGTCGGCATTGATGGCCAGCCTGGGCCCGGTACGCTTCGTCAAGGGCGATGCCCAAGTCGCTGGCAGGATGGCCAAGGCAGATGCCAGTGAGGAAAAGAATATCGAAGGCCGCATGGTGAGATAACAATAGCAAGCAAGAGCGGCCACACAGAAGAATGGGCAATCCGCAGGCTGCGGAATCTGGCGGTAGATAGAGATATCGATACAGCTGGCATGGGAGGCAACAGAACAGCCTCGCCTTTTGTATGCCGTGCTTGCTTCGCAAGCTCTGTTGCTGCATCCTGCGCCTTCCGCATCAGGAGCTGTCACCAGACGCAACCATCAGCTGGCAGGAGCGAGCCATCCGGCGTTGCACATGTCAGGAAGGTGCAAGGAAGAGCCGAACTGCTGCTGGCCGGAAACAACCGACGATGCATCTCCACGCCGGTTGCTGCAAGCAAGGGTCGCCTTCTGCTTGCATACAAGTCATAATTTTTGCGGCAACATTGTCAATCCCGTTCTCCCAGATCATCTGCTCGCAGGGACCTCTGAGTAGGGATCTCTCAGTAGGGATCTCTGAGTCAAGGTTACTCGAATCTACTCCGCACGGCCTGCTCTTCGTGACACTGACGTGGCGATGTTCTCTTGCTTCCCCGCATTTCGGTCAATAAAGCCAGCGCTAATCGGCTGACTCGCACTGCAGGAGCAGTAGATCCAGTGGGCATGCAGTTGTGTCGTCTGGGCGCGAGATTCGATTCCGAGAATTAGTCCGGATGTTTGTATGCCCGATGCCTGACAGGGAAGCCCGATGCAAGGGTGAAAGCGGAATATTGGCACGCGAGGAGATCCAGACCATTTGCAGACAATCCCATGGTTCTTCCGCTTGTTGACAGGTACCTTACGGCTCCGTTCAAGCCATCCGCTTGCGATTCTCGGTTCCGGTACTGACGATCCGTGTACGGAGTAACGACTGAAGGGTAAGGCTGCCAAACAGATCGTACCAGCTGTGATAATTTCGAGAACAAAAATCATTAAATTTGCCACGAACTGACAGTGGACACATGACCAAGAGAAAATCTGGGCACTCATCAGATTGTCGGCAATTATAAGCACTAACCTCTCTCAGCCTTGCATAAATAAAGCTAGTCTCCTTCGTATTAGCCTAGCTTATTCTTTAGCCTTGTCGATCCACCCCCCTGGTCCCAATGACCGGCATTAAGGACTTGGTAGATCTTTGGCGTCCACGCTAAATCGCCGAGGAGTGTGCACGATGACATCAGTCGCAAGCAGCAGGCCAGGCCGTTTGCGCCACAGATCGTAGGGTTTTGATGATCGTCTATAACCCCGCATGAGTAAAGTAAGCGAGTGAGTGAGCAAGACTAAGTCTGTTGATTTCACCAGAACAGGTAAATCCTGAGTACACTAGTTTGGTTAATACTGTATCTATCGAGGGAAGGGAGAAATATTGCCGGAACCGCAAACAGAGACAGCAACAGAACGCATCCGGAAATCTCAACACAACATATTTGCACTTACTACTCAACGGAATTTTTTTTTTCGCTTTACGCGACACCAGAGAAGGGACACAATCTCGAGGAAGACGTTCGTTTACAGTAAACGCAAAAAAAATTTCTGTGCTGTACAGTACATTCAGTACGTAAGGAAGTATACTACAGTCTATACTATGGCATAGCAATAGCAAAACAAACCACTTATCCAATAACAAACCACTCCAGAGTAACAAACAACCCAACCACTAAATTAACTAACTAACCACGTATATGACTTGCATGTGACAGCCCGAAAAAGCGAATAAAAATCTGAATATCAGCAAAAATGCGGTGAAAGGAAGAAAGACTGATCCTTCATCGAGTACTCCGTATGTGCATGCATGTAATACGTACGTACATATGTGCGTTGGGCGGTCAATCAATCGAGAAGTCAATCAGTCACGTTACCACGGCATATAATCATATGACTAGTTGACTATCTTGGCTATGGCATGGCTATGCCTATTGACCTATCCAGACTGGCTTGCCTTTTTAACGGCTCAAAAACGAAAGTCTATTTACGAGGTCGAGAAGCCAAGGAAGAAATAAAAAAGATAGGAAGATCACTCGTGACTCAGTCAACTAGTAGAAGAGGGAGGGGTATATGGTATTAGTCACGATAATATCTACCACATATTTACTTACTTAGTTATATACTTAGTTACATACTACCTAACTTGGGTCAGTAGTATTAGTTACCTACCTGCCTGGTAGTTCAGTAGTAGTATTTTGGTTTAGTTTAGTTTAGTTTATTAGCCAGGTGTGGAATGAGCAATTCAAATGACGCATCAATTTAGAAGAAGAGTAGGGAAGGAAAGATAAAAGTTCAAAGGCGAGAAATAATACCTAGTTGATAAAGATTAGTTTGGATTAGGTAGCTATTTCTTCAGAGATTCTAGTATATTGTCCTGGCAGCAAAACAGGAATGAAGCATGCAATTAGAGTACATTTATTTAGCTTATGAAGGATGTGTTTGTTGAATTGTATTCTCTATGTATGTATATATGTACAGATGCTCAATAACCAGCCAAGAGCAAGAAGTAAACTCCTTGGCTTGATGTGATCAGTTCTCCGGAATGTAGCTGATTCGCTTTAGTAATGTCAGTCGCATTGTATGCTGAAATCCATCAATCCGCCCGCTAACAGTTACAATTCCTGCTTGCCATTATCGTCATCGTCGTCATTATTTCATCCAAGTCGTCACTGAAATAGAATAGAACACGGAGATGTCTTTCTTTGATTGCTTTGCATGCTCATTTGCTTGCTGTCTGCGCCCTCTTCCTTGCCTTTTCTTCGCGGATGTCCTGCACCCAGGCCTCGGCGCCTTTGATGGCCAATTCGGGCTCCTGCTTGTGTTGCAGTAGATATCCCTGGATCTCGGCTGGAGTGAACTCTCCGCTGGGGATCCGCGACGCAAATTCCTCAGCGAGAGAGACAAGTTCGGCTTTGGAGGTGGCCTGATAAGCTGAATTGACGGCACCATTCCCGATTTTTGCGTCTGGAAGATCACCCTCCAACGGGGCGTAGATCGCCAGGAAGAGGTCCCGGATTGAAACGCGATCCGAATACCCAAATTCAATCGTCATGTCGACCCGACCCGGTCGCAGCAGCGCAGGGTCGAGCTTCTCGATGTGGTTCGTGGTCATGACCAGAATCCGACCTTCGCTCGAGGCAACTCCGTCGATGATGTTCAGCAGAGCAGACAGTGAGACGCCTTGCGCAGTTTTGTCGTCGTCCTTGTCCGTCTCTTCCCCGATCGCTGCAGCATGGCCGGGACCCTGAGGCGGCGCGTCCGATGTTGAATCTCCGCGCTTGTTCGTCATGCCGGCGGCGTCGACGTCTTCCAGAAGCACGATGCACCGCCGTGGCAAGCTCTGAAACATGGCCGCCAGGCTGTCCTCGGTCAGAGACTTCGAGTTGAGACTGACCAGGTAGATTTTCAGATGCAACGCCCCCGCAGCCGCAAAACACAGACTCGACTTGCCGGTTCCTGGAGGTCCGTAGAACATGTACCCTCGACGGTATGGGATTCCTCGGTTGGAATACCAGCGGCGTGTCCGCGGATGCAGGTACTCCTTCACGTCCTCGAGGAACGCCTGCTTCTGGGCATCGTCCAGCACGACAGTCGACAGCGGACGGGGCGGACGGGCCATGCACCGCACCCAGTCGTGATCTGCACCCGCAGCGCTTTTCTGTCCCCGATAGATGATGGTCTTGTTCCCGTCGCGGTCGACGTATGTCTGCTGGGCCTCACGCAGAAGCTCCTTCAGAATAGAGGCATCTCGTCCCAGACATCGGAGATAGAGCCTTTCTGTCGGTGTCCCCCACGTGATGATCTGCTTGCTGTCGTCCGGTGTCCTCGCGAAACTGATCAAGCGATGCTTGTACCAGAACCAATACTGGCCTTCGGCGGGGGTGATGCGAATGGGCTTGATCTTATCGAGGGTGATTCTCCGCGCCCAGTAGTCATCGAAATTGTCCGGCATGTCCTTCTCCATCTCGTCGTCATCGTCGTCATCCGAATCGTCGTACCAGACCAGGTGGCTTCGCGTCTTGGTGCCTGCGACGAATCGAGTGGCCTTGCGGGAGAAGCTCTGCTGAGAGATCCAGTACATCAGGTAGTCGAACATCTCGTCGTCCATGCGGATCTCCACCTGAGACATGAAGAAGCTGTTAAGGAACTCCACGGCGCCCGGGATGCAGAATTGCAGAGACGCTGTCGCCGTCGTCAGAAGAAAGACCAGCGGCAAGTACGACGAGATGAGCGAAAATCCAGACGGGAAGGAATCTAGCAGGGGGATCCCTGAGAAGGGCATCAATGGCGATGCCTGGAAGGAGGCGTTGCGTAAAGCGTCCATGATGTGGTACATATAGTACGGAGTCTGTGAGCTCAAAGAGAGGATTCACCAGATGGTGAAATCCTTGCCAGAAGGACAGCTATGACAGAGTGAAAAAGAGATCTCTCACAGGATACTGCTTAATATTTATATCGCATACTGCAGCACCTGTCCCCGTGGCTGCCTACGCTTGCCAAGCAGCCATGTGAAATCATTGTGCATAAGTCTGCCAGTCTGCTCAGACTGAAGGAATCATTGGATGAGAACGACTAAAAAAAAAATTGTAAGTAACTGTAAGTATATTATTTCTTCTTGAGTCAGGATTACTAGATAACCCAGGACTGACTCAATGATCCGCAGTCGGAGAAAACAATGAGTAAAGCACAGTCAGCCTAAACTGGCACAGCCTTGTTGATGCAACCCACCATTGGACCAGAACAATCATCATCTCCACTACTAGCGTTTCTGCCTTGAATGTTGCAAATGGATCTGACATCCTTTTCTTTAATATCATACCGTAAAAAAAAACAATAAGCCATACTCACTTGCGGCTCTTAGGAGTGTCTCAGATGATGCCTACTTACAGCTGTAATAGTGCAATTCAGGTAAACTGTGGCACAGCTGGATTCAATTTTCAAAGGATACGCCACAGGATAAGCCAGCGATTGCCTATTCTGGATGAGGCTGAGCAGGATATAGACTGCACCTGCTGCAAGGCAGTAAACTAGTACTGGTTCTGGTAATTGGTAACAGATAAGAAATTGTAATTTTGAGGCTGAGGTTGAATCAGTTTGAAAGGCAGGGAAAAAAATGAAACTTTGCTCTCTTTCCTCAATTGCCCAGCAAAAAGAAAAAAAAATGTGTTGAACCACGTGAGATATGAAATCGATAATCCACACAAGACCGAAAGAGTTTCAATTCTTTTTGTTTCAGAGAGGAAATAAACATCAGGAAGCATCAACTTGACTCTCCAAGCAATGAATGCATTGGAAATAAGAGAATCTTGACTGTTGTTCATTGACCCTTTGAGCCTGCTTCATATCAGTCTATTTATTCTCATTCCCGAAAGCCTGCTTGCTGTCAACCAAGTCTTTTGTCTCCCGAGAAAGGCTGCGGATGAAATCAAATATTGCCACTGAGTTGGCTTGCTGTATCGTCCATGATTAGTCTTTAGACCAGCGCACCATGACTGAGAATGGAAGCATACCTGAATGACCCGCCAATTATAGTGTGAAGCCGCTGTTTGGCACCAGGATGGTGGGCTAGACATAGAAAAAAATATATTTAGTTACTATCTAGATTATATATTCAAACTGGGGACAAGACGGACTTATTGCACAGCAGAGTATCGCCACCTTGGGCATGCCAGGTGATTGCATTGTTGAAATTGGCACTTTGATCACTTCCAGCTGTCTTGATTCTGTCTTCGTGGCTCGCACTCGCACTGGCCTGGACGTATGGTGATGAGAAAGATAGGCTGGCTGCCACTTTCAAAGCCTTGCTTCTCTCCGAGAAGCTCGAGTTGCCAAACGATGACGTTTCCTGGGTATAGTAAAGGCGCCCTCCAAGAAGAACTTTGGAGGGGAATACCTGGCCTTTTTTTTTCTCTTCAAAGTGAGCATCCTGCTACCAGCAAACTGGAAGAACAGCAGCAAGGAGTTCTGACTGACCGTATTTCCGACAAAAACGAAGGTAATCGTCGTGAGAACTCATTTTCTTTAAATCCGCCTCGCACTCCTCGGTGAGTTCCACAATCTCTCCATCCAGGTACAACGCGACTCGCGGAAACTAGTGCTAATTCGATCAGCAGCTTGGTTTTTCAGATTGCTAATAAGAGGACGAAAAACTGTACATACATTGTAGGTGATATGCATAGAAGCACTTGACGTTTCGTTCGTCTTCTTGAACAAATCCTGGTCTGCTTTGCTAAGCCCTGCTGTTACACCTGCGGAAAATCCTGCGGCACCACCAGCTCCGGGCTCGACTGTCAGCAGGTGTAGTAGCAGGTGTAGTATTTGGGCGAAGAGACATCTGGTACTCACACTGAAGCTTCGACATCCGTCTGAGAGAAAGATTCCTTTGCCATCATGTTCGACAGTGCAGTCTTGGTCTCTGTGACCTCGACATATGACTTGTCATTGTCCTGGAAAAGAGGCACTCTGGTGTCCTGTGCTGTTTCTTAAATCTCATCATCGACGCGACGAACATGTCATACACACCTTCAGCTGAATCTTGCTCTCAACCTCAGTCTCCTCACTAGATAGCATCTTCCTGGCCTTCACACGGAAAGCTGAGCATATTATTAGAACACCATCTTTACGAAATTGTGGAAACCATGGGATCACCTGGATAAGGAGCACGCTCCATTTTTTACCTGCGTTGTTTCTATTTCAGTCTCGGGATCCTGAACTTTGGTAAGAGTAACAGAGTTCCCACTCAAGAGGTTGTTTCTTTTCAGGACAACATCCCAGTCTGCCTCGGTCATATCCACGGGATGCCTAAAAAAAGGTGCGTTAAAATGGGCTGAGCTTTGACAACATGTAGGACAAATGAACTCCCTTACTTTGCGTTTCCTGAACCTGTAGAAGCGACAAAGTTACTAGCAGAGAAGGACGAAACGAGGTCTTTCAGCGCCTTGGGGTCAAACTTTTCACTCCCTGCCTGCTGCAAGATGTTAGCTATCGAAACAGCAACTGATACTGAACTGAAATAGAGGGTGCCCCAACACTCAAAGCAGTGTCGATCTTTTGATTGAGGAATTCCTTGGCGGAATCATTTAATCCACCTTGCACCCTTGTGTATTTAAAATATACATTGAAGCGGTCTGGTGTCGATGGTTTTGCAGTATTAGAACAAGAGCCTTCCGGGTGACCGTCGTCCGCTCTTGGATCCTTCTCGGTTTCCTATCAAAGAGTCTGATCAGAAAGCGTAGGCAGAAAAATAGATAGAGACCTCATCACCTTTTCATCAATGATACGAAGGTAGAGAGAGAACTTTGTCTCATCACCGATCACAGCACCTTTGACATTGCAAAAAGGACTCCTTCTTCTGTTGGAACTTAGCACCCACATAACAATCTGGCGTAATAAATAAGACAAGGAAGGATTTGTGTTTTCACCACATACACTTTGGAGTCCAGCACTTTAGCATCAACCAGCTTCTTGCGCAACTCGGAAAGCGTCTTGTCTTGTGCTTCCTTTGGAACAGTAACACAGCTATGTTCCTTGACAGGCTCGGAGTGGCTGTCGAAGGTTCGAATGTTAAGGATAACATCGGTTGTGTTCGCGGCCATGGTGAATCCCGTGGTGGATATCCAGTGCAATCGTACTTTGGGCAAGGAGTTGATGATTAGCAGGAGCAAAAAGAAGTTGCTTAACTAAGTATTTATAAGTTTGCCGAGAAAAAAAAATTCAATTGAGCAAAAATACAGGAATAGTCATCAAAGTGTTGCTGTATGGAGCAAATAATTTCTCCATGGATGATGCATTCCGTGTTTAATTCACATTTCATGTGACCGTTCATTTATCATGGCCAGGTGGTATAGAGCTGGTGCAATTTGGAATTAATTTGGTCGGGATGCCTGGCCAACACTGCCAGAAAAACGAAGAAGTTAATGTATCTAGATGCATCATGTATGGGTATATTCTTTCAAACCAGCTGAAAAATGCCTATACTGACAAATAGAAATGACTACACTCCTCCGAATTGAATCATGGAATGGGAAATATCGTTACACACATGCTGTAATGGAAATTGCATTTTTGGGCGCCTTTTTGAGTGAATTTTCAAAGAACCAGCCTTCATGAGAAGGTCATTGTATCCGCATATAGATTATACACAGGGAAATCATTCCACGGTTACACAACGCCCGCTCCACTGTACTACACATTCTAGAAGTCTCACACAGCTGCAGAGCCAGTTGATCAAGTGGTTAGCTGATGATAATGAATTCATACCCGATCTAGCTGAATCATCTCTATATTGCTATACACGACAGTGGCTGTCTGAAGAAGCTCGTTTTCTTATACTGATGGTTGCTCACGACCTGAGTACAGAACTGCAACTAATTCCACACGTTGCTCCATGATTGGTCTATATGCTTAATTAATTAGCTGGTACCAGGTTTTTGCTTTTTTTTTTCAGTTTGTTTTAGCAGTACCGCCGTAGCGTTGCTGAGTAGCAGTGGTGGTGGCAACAGCTGCCAGATTAAGGTTGCAATTAGAAGAAAAACAAAGGCCAACAACAGACAAGTAGAATAATATCGATAGTCGATCAATGTTCTGAATGCACGTGAGAATTAGCGCCGAACTTGCCAGATCCCCCACTATGAGTCTATGACAACTTTGACAAGGTGATTAGGCTCCCCGGAAGTACTCCGTAGAACGCTTGCATTAGTGTACCTGACACCTACGTAATCTTACCTGCAGGCGCTAAGATGTACATACATACATACACAAGGCCCACAGCAGATAATCAATAGGATATCGGTCAGTATCGAGATACAACACAGCTGGCAAATAGTATGGCCATGGCTAGCGAGTTTGTGAACATGGAAGTGGCGGTGTCTTTGCTTATGCTCTCTTGGATTTTCTCTGTTGCACAGATGAACCGGGCGAAGGAATACTATGGATATTACATGTACTTCCTGATGTAATTATGTGTGCCATTCATCCTGTATAGTTTCTCTTAAGTGAGGCCTCTTTTCCCGATGTTACGTTATGTGGTTGCAGAAGCTTGAAGATGGATAACTCTATGATGCACTTGCATCCCTGGAATTGAGACTGCAAGTTGTGATTTGTTGATGTGACTATGTTCTAACCTGTAGGGAAAGTTGCTAACATAGTCATCGAGGGAAGTAAGCATGCGAATTTTGAAATGACAGGGGGTAATGGCGGTTGAAAACTGGCTGTGTCCTGCTACATACCATACAGACCTGCAAATGATCAATTACTACTTCATAGCTAAAGGTCTTACAGGTGTATAAACCTGGCATATATAAAGGCTTAACCCCCCCGGCAGAAGACCTACACGATCTCCTCTACAGAAAACTCAATAAACCATCTAAGAAATCGTCTGCTTTTCAACAGTGCTGGAATCGCGTCTGCGTCATCATCCAATATGTCAGCAGATACTACCACCTCACAGGGTCCTACCAACTCATCTCCCTGTGAGTGAGATCTCTAAACCGAAGATTGAAGAGATGCTAATGACCAGTATCAGCTGGCGGTGAAGGAGTCAAATCTGGAGTTTCATTCAGACTGAAGGTTGATGAACATACAAGCCTTGGTGTACATGATGCCCATCATTGGAAGTTCCCCCCTAATCCTCATGTACCTGAAAAGGATCTATGGGTCGCTGGTAAGTTTCATCCATACTAACCAAGTACAACAAGAGCTAAAGGAAAAACAAAAACTAGTCCACAGTGAGGCCTGTTACGACCTTCATAACAATGAATCCACAGACTTTGAATACCAGGATGACCTGAAAAAGAAAGGCTTTCACTTCTTCTCATGGCATTTTCTTTGGGACCCAGGAAGTCAAATCACCACAGTTGATGCCACTGCCCGTGACGCCGAGGGCCATCCACTCGGGTATGATGTATTCGAGACGGAGATAACTTCCTCACCATCGGATGCATGGCAAGTAAGTATGCAGACGTCTAACTGCCCACATGAGTGAATGCCTAATTGCTGACAATTATCATAAAAAAAAAGCTCAAAGAAGATACACCTTACAAGCTTCGACTCCGAAGTCCCGGTCTACCTTATACTAAATATCTCACCTCAACGCCCATCATTCCAGGATTCTACCACAAGTCATTTCTTTATTCGGACGTGGTTTCCAATATCCCATTCAAAGACCAACGAGATAACTACGGCTACGAGTTCCGGTTCCAGAAAGTGGACGGTGCTCAAGACGATCACTTCATCAAGACCGGCGACAGGGTGAAGCTCCAGATCTATGAGCCTGAGTGGCCTAAGGGGGACAAATCGGTACTGCGTGGATATGCCTCCCGCATCCTGAACTACTCTGTCGGAACTGAGCAATACACGTCAAGGTCGGGGTTGAAGCCAATCATATTTACCATCGAGATCATCCAGGCACAGGCTTAACCTGTAAGGCTCACAGGGCAAGTAAAGTAACTGTCAAGAGATGTCCATTGCTGGCACAAGAGTTGGCAAGATCATCTGCTTTTTCTTTCATTGCTTATGGCAGACTTACATTCATTAAATCTGATAACATTCTGAGTTTTCATAATTATTTGCTAGCATAATTCTTGCTTCGCTCTATTTTTTTTCACCTTTTTTTTGGTCCACAATGCCATCATTACCGTTGCAGAATATTTGTCAAAAAGTTGGCCTAATGCTGCATGCAATATTAACAATTGGGGCAATTCGGGTGGAGGAGGAGAGCGGCCCGGGCCGCCCAGCACGAGGGCGCCACCTTGCGAACTGCATGCCCCACACAACCTTAGATAACAATTATCTCTATTGCCTCCATTTAAAATCAGACAATTAATTAGGTCGCAGCTCTCCCATCCAAACACACTCAAGTCGACTGTCTTAACCCAAAAGTCTCTAGTCGCTCTACGTAAAAACCAAGTCTTAGGCAGCCAGTCTCATTCACCTAACTCAGAACTGAACGGTCATGCTTGGAAGTTGAACCAACAAATAAGAGACTACTTTTTTCCCTCACAGATAGCGCGCTGGGTTGGCGAGGGCGTCAAGAAGCCTGCAGGGGAAAAGTAATGACTTTCTGGTACGATAATTGATGAGATGTGTTGTCCATGCTCACAAGATGAATATTCTCAAAATGAAAATTGCATGACAGCTAGTCACGCTTTCCTGTGAAAAAGGATATTATAACTGCATTGTATGGTCCTCGACGAAAACAATGGGTATCATTATCATTAATTCGCTATTACATCCAAAAGCCACGCAGTATAAGTTTGAACGCAGACACACCACGAAGGAAACATTATTAGTACACCAACTGCTCCTCTACCTCAAAGAGCCTCCAGAATGAAATGAACGCCACCACGCCCGCTCTGGAATTCTCGACATATGATCACGATGGTGGTCGGTTGTCTTTCTTCGCTTGGATTAATTCACTGACCCACTCCTTGAATGACTCCCAAGTCTCCTTCGCCTGACTCCACCATGAAGTAGGCTTCGCGTCAGCGTCTTCCGGACTGTTGTCCGACGAGCCAGGAGACTGAGGCATCGTAGACGAGGGATCAGGTGTTATAGGACCCGGACGCTCTGGACCCACTCCACTCGTAGGAGGATCTGCTGGGCTGTCGAGAACAGGGGCGTCTTCGTTGTCGTGCAAGCCGACTGGCTGCAAAGGAAGACGGAGGGTCCCATTGCTCGGAAGCGGCTTCACCCCAATGGAGTCGCAGATAATATTGTAGACTTCGATATTCTCTGCCAATGGTCAGCACTGCAGCGCAACCTGTATGCCATCGGGAACTTACGGAAAACCTCCAACCGGCTGTTGGGCTGGTGAGGAAAAGCAGGCCCCCGCGCGATGAATATAGCTCGCATGAGCGGGTGTTCGTTATCGTATCCGTGGATGCCCCGCGGAGTGTAGACTCTACCCGTCTTGAGAGCCTCCTTGGCATCGAATTCAGGTCGTTCAACCACCGCCCAACCCGTCTTGGGAATCACCCACAACGGGGCTATGCGTTCGCTCTTCGAAAAATGGTAGCGCTCGGGCATCGTCTGCCGAGTATACACTTCGATGCCATCGGAGAAATTCTTGGCTCTTTCGGCAAGCTGACTCTGGAGGATCTGCAGATCCTCTGGCCGTTTCGGACGCAGCCCTCGCAGTGGCCATCCGTCAATATGCTCGACCAAGTCCAGGTCAACCAAGTCTTCCAGTTGAACCAGTCTCCTGGTAGACGTCGTGGCCATTCCGTGATCAGACACGACGACAATGTTGACGATATCGGTCAGATTCCGCGCCTGCAGTCCATCGAGGAGGCTAGCAAGCATATCATCCGCGCTGGCGATGGTGCTTCGTATTTCGGTACTGTTGGGGCCATACTTGTGACCGGCAGCGTCCACGTCCGGCACATAGGCAGCTATCAACTGCGGTCGTTTCTTCTCATCCTCGAAGTCGCTCTCCTCGCCAGGCAGGTCTAGAAATTGCAAGATCCGATCGACTTTCCGTGACAATGTTTCTGAGCCATTAAATTTATCGTAAAAGGACGGGTCAATACCACCAATGTGTGCTTCCGACCCAGGCCACATGTGTATCGCGGTGCGAACGCCCTGCTTCTCAGCTGTAACCCAGACCGGCTCAGCCTTCCACCACTTCGGCTGCGAGACAACATGCGGTTCGACAACAAACTCTTCTTGAAATGTAGGATCCCAGAAACTGTTACCGACAATCCCATGACTTTCCGGATAGAGGCCAGTGACAAGGGTGAAGTGATTCGGAAATGTGACACTAGGGAAGCTGGGAAGCATGTATCTTGGTGAGACGCCTTCCGCGATGAGCGAGTTAAGAGTCGGTGTAAGCCCCCGATTCAGGAAATCAGCGCGGAATCCGTCCAGCGAAATCAATATGGTCGTTGGCGCAAAGAGAGCCGTGCCGTTGGACAGGAGGGGTTTCTGGACGCGAGAGGACCGGAAATCGCCAGACGCTTTATATGCACCCAAAACGATGATGAGGAAGAGAACGACAATCGCGGAGAAAATCAGCGTATACCGAGTACAGATCGCCCATTTTGACTGGAAAATGTCAATAACAAGCTGCCACACAGAGGACGTAGTCTTGTTCCGGCGTCACCTTATATCCCCACCCATCCAATGCCAAACGGTCAAGCTCCAACGAAGACGCCCGCGTACTGCTCTGGGTGCTGTCATCTCCACGAAACCCCTCTTCCATCTCAAACATCAAATCCCCTTCCTGGTAGGGCTTGCCGCGACCCTTTTCCCGCTCCGACCTTCTTCGTTGTTTCCTCCGCTCCCTTTTGCCTATGCGGACAGTACCGCTGGTCGGGCTGAAGATTCGGCGAAGCCCGACAGCCGGACCTGTTCTGACAAGCAGCTTTTCCGTCTCCTCCTCTTCTTCCAGGACTGATCGATCATGTTCCGCAAGCTCCAGAGTCGACCGGGAGCGCCGCAAAAGCTCATCGTCTTCCGAGTCGGAGTCCTGCTCCGAAAGCGATCGCAGCGAAGCGACATCCTCGTCGTAGGCGGCTGGCGAGAGAAGGGAAGGACTCGACGGCTCTTGTCGCGACGACATGGCGGCGATTCTTTTCCGAGTCGCCGCAAAGGGCTGGCTCGAGGGGGGTTCTGATGCGGGAATCGGTACGGAGTATTCTGGGGAAGAGGAGATGCGCGTCATGGCGATCTTACGATACGTGACGCTAGTGTTATGGATCCGCCACCCCTGCCAAGCAGAACGCTGTATTTTACCGTAACTCCGCATACAAGATCCCCTCTCGATCTGTTTGATCGTAATTAATGCTCTCATTTTCTATCCATGTAAAATCGTACATATATTGCTCGTCAAAGAATTAATAAAGAGAGCATTTTTAGTAATTTTCTACACTACAAGACCTTGGGAGGACCCAGCTGCAGATTGTGACTGATGCAGTAGATTGATGTCAAATTAAGCAATATGGCTTCTGTTTACTTTCACAAAGCAGAAGTGGTAATGGTTTGTTGTGGCATCGTAGCAGTACTTACAATATACCAAGTCTCACCCATCCTCGTGCAGTGCATCTTTCTAAAACTGATAATATGCTGGTGTTTGTCTCTTGAACATTGATATCAATTTTGATTATCTGATTTAATAGTTACAGAAACAAGGTTCTGAACATCACTCCAGATTTGAGTGTGCAATCAGTCCAAATTAAAATAAGATTTAATCGCAGACCTCATTGGCCAGCAACAATAATTCGCAGGACTAGAGCAGCGTATTTTATTTGTACTTGCCAGTTTTGCTCGACCAGGAATCTCAGTCTTCTTTCTCATTAATTGTTTACAAAACCAAGCATATCGACACATCCTTTTGCCGAAAGACCCCTAAGTTCTAATATTGCCTTAGGATAATTGCTCATGAACACCTCTCCTTTTTTCATAACACCTGTTTCAAGACTCATCTCCTTAAATCTTAGCTGACTACTCGAAGCTACCACCGTCAAAATGTCCTCGCAACGGACACGATATTTGCAGCCACGGAACAGTACCGTCCACAAGATGCTGAGGAAATTATTCTGCAGTGGCTTGTCGATTACAATGAATTCCACAATGATGCGCTTCATTATCGCAGCCTTTTGTGAGCAACGCCTCAGCACCGCAAAGTCTGCATAACAGGACACAAAAGAACTATGCGAGGCCCAATTCCACAGAGGTGACGATGAAGCGACAGCTCCATGTCGACCGGTACGGATCCGCTCTTTCCGAGTGCGGAACCACAGTCAAGGAACTTCGTCTGCCCGCATTCAACAACGTACCCGGCAATCGTCATCGAATCCAACTGATCCGTTTCAAAAACGCCATCTCAATTAGATGGCTCACTTCAATGATTTCTGGCTTGAAGCGCACCTGGTTTCAGCAACTGGCCAAGGCAAGCCTCGTCGAGAGTCGGGTACATGTAGCTAACATTCTTTCCAGTTTGTTGTCTCTATTTTTGATTCTTAACAATTTCGATAGAGCATGATCCTGACTACGAGGTACACGCGGTCGGATACTGCATACAGCGCATACAGCCTGAGGAGCAATCCTCAAGCAGTTGCTCTTCCCAAGAACAGGCGCAGGCAGGAAGATCACCACATGCTGATTTCGCCTACTGCTCGTCACGGCAATGTGACATACCGGATCCAGTAAACGAGAACGTTGTCGCAGGCTTGGCACTTGCTGTCAAATCTTTCCTCTTCCGTCGTCGGAGTGGCTGGTATCGCCCAATGCGGAAATACGAAAGGAGCATCCAGATCACGTGACACTGCTTCCACAGGTCGAAGCAGGTAGATGCTACTATGTGTGAGATCCCCATGACGTTACCGGTTAAAGGATCTCTGTCCGTGTCCAGATTAGTCAGTTGCCAGCAGATTTGTGAAAAAAAATTTTTCACCCAAGCGGTTGACAACTTCCGCATTCGGCATCCCCGAGCAGTCCCAGCTCGCTGGCAACGTCCAACCATGGATGACGACTGGGGAAAATTCGGGGAAGATTACCTGTCATAGGGCTTACCAGAGAATAGAACTCGTTTTTGGACAGTTGAAGGTTCCATGGGAGGTCTGGTCTATAAAATGGGGACATCCGACTGCCCTACGCCTCCGTCCTTTCATCCTCAATCACTTCTATCAAGTTGAATTCATTCACTGAAATCTCTTGAGGAAGACTTTGTCCCCTTCCAAGGGCAAGCCATTCGTTTCGCCTAGCTTTATTGCTATCTATCAGCTTCTGAAACAAAACTTAAACACAACACAACGACAAAATGCACTTCTCTGCTCCCATCGTTGCTCTTCTCGCCCTCGCGGCTGGCCCGGCCTACGCCGGCAACGTTAAGGAATACGGCCATACCACCTCGACTGTTCCCCACTCGACCACTTCTCACACGACCTCGACCGTGCCTCACCCGACTTCGCCCTCGACGACAAAGCCTCCGGTGACTAACCCGACTGCTCCTCCGCTGTCGACGGGCGTGCACGGCAAGAATGCTACCACGACCATCTACATCAACGGCACTTGCACTCATTGCTCCAAGACCACTCCCGGCAGCGTCATTGTTCCAACCGGCGGTGCTGGCGGCCACGGCGGTTCTAGCGGTTCCGGCTCTGGCTCTGGCTCTGGATCTGGTGCTGGCGCTGGTGCTGGGTCTGGCTCCTCTGGCTCCGGCTCTGGTTCTGGCTCCGGCTCTGGTTCTGGCTCCGGTTCTGGCTCCGGTGCAGGTATCACTCCTCCTGCCCCCAAGGTCTCCTCCACCTTCGTGCCATCCAACCCCGGCTCCAAGCTTGCTTCTCCAGGCGCTACATACGTCTCTGCCGCCGTACTCAGCGGTATTGTCGGTGCTTTCATGCTCATGGCATAGACGACGACGAACCGAAAAAAAAAGGATTGTCGTTGTTTCTTCTGTCTGGTAATGTGATGGATGGGTTTGTCTTTTTTGAGGAAGGTTTTTTTGGCCTTAAAAGAAAAAAAAAAAGAAAAAGAACAAACAAGAAAAAAAAAGGTTTTAATCTATTATGTTAGCTGTTATAGTAATATATAATATATAATATTTGATACAAACTCAGTTCATTCTTTGTTTATAGCATAGCATAGCATTTGTAGTAGGTAACTACCTGCCTGCCTACCTAAACATGCATGTAGTTATTTATACTGATATTCTTTATTTAAGGAGGACTAGGACTGCTGCAACATACATAACATACCAAAACAATGAACACAGACCACAGAAAATGGGAATCTGGAACCCCATCAATGATACAGATTGTATGTCTCAAGTACAGTGCAGTACATACATATAACAGGAAATAAGCACATGTACTGTACATACATACAACTGTGCTATGGGAATGGGAATGGGAATGAATGTCTTTCTCTGGACACCTGTATAACTAACCTCTTTCTTGTCTTGAACGTACAGTAGAAAGGAAAATTGGAATTCAATGTGTATGTAATTTGGATGAATGGATAGAAAACGAACGGTTTATGCTAGACAGCAACAAAAACAACAATATCAATACCAAACTGACTGACTGTATCGATCAGATCAGATCTGATCTGATCTGATCGACCGCCCCGCTCCGCTACGCTACGCTGCCTGCCTACGCAGAAACAACATTCACCCAATTCCTCCACTCACACGCACATCCTCCTGTTCCACCATCAATCCCCCCTTCCTCCTCTTCCTCTTCCTGAGAGGAATTATTATTGCTGCTGCCCAAATCATCAAAAATCCCCGGCGCGGGATTGACGAGCTCGCCCCCGAACCCCCTGTTCTCCAGCTGCAGCTTCTTCTCGCTCGGGATGATGTGCTCGTTGCCGTCCATTCCGTAGCAGTAGACCATCTTCTTGGATGCGTCGCCGCCGTGGCGGTCCAGTTTGATGGTCGTTGGGTAGGGGAAGGAGCCGGGGCGGAGGAAGTCGTTTGCTGAGGAGTTCGTGGCGTTCCCGGTCGCTGTCGCTGTTGGGAGTAATGCGGATGATGTCGGGGTAGCGCTCCCAGCGTTGTTATTGTTGCCATTGCTAAGCAACGTCATCCCAGACACATTGGACGGCTGCGTCCAGATCTGCACCAGAAAGCGCGTCTGCGCCCACGTGCATCGTACCTGCGCCTCGTCCTTCGGCGAGCCGCCGTTTTGGTCCGCAGTGACGTCGTCCGTTCCGCTGTCGTTCAGCGGAGCAGTCGACTTGAGGAAGATGGATCGGTCGAAGTACGTATAGAACCCGTAGTGCTCTGTTGGCAGGCCGCGGTTGTACAGACGCACGGGCTGCGAGACAGGCAGCGGGTAGAGGGTCGCAGCAGCAGCCGTCCCGTCAGATGCGAGGCTCGGTTCGGGGATAATCGACGTCACGTTCGGAAAGTCGGTTTCATTATTATTATTATTACTGTCGCGTTTGACAAGCCGATACGAAGGGACTTCTTCAGGAGATAGAACCGTGATAAAGAACGGGGTTTCTTCCCCCGCGAATGGCACGGCATTCTTGTCGGTTGTGTTCCCCAGGAACGTCTGATCGGCGAGACTGGGAGGCGAAGGCGAAGGGTCGAAAAGAGAGTCCGTAAACGGATCCCTTGGCTGCAGGACCCGGCGGTTGATGAATTCTCCTGCTGAGCGTTTGCTCGACGCAATGGTCGTGCTGTTGGGATATGTGCCGTTCCGGAATCGGATCTGAATCCTGAAGTTCGGCTGGTTCGCAGCGTAGGGCGAGTTTGCCGACTGTTGCTCCTTTGGCAGCGCGCAGCTCCATAAAGTCGATGGCTGGATGCAGCCATTGTTTTCAACCTGAGCTTCTGGTCCGGCGATGGTCAGGATCCCCGTTGGCATCGGCGGATATCCCGTCAGATTCAACCACTGAGACTGCACCGGCGTCGCATCGCCCTTTCTTGTAAGGGTTGTTGCCAGGGCTATCGCGATCACAATGATGGCAAGGCAGAGGATACTGATAGCCGCATACCATCGCCTTCTTATTCGCCCCTCGCGGCCTGGTCGCCCAAAGCATCCCTTATTGCTAAAAGGTCCCCGACCACGCCAGAGACCGCCGATCTTCCTGCCAATAGCATCCTCCTTTTCCCTCCTTCGTCGCCGATTCTCGATCTCGTCTCGTGCCGTGACGGGATGTGTTATGTCGGCTCTCATGATCGGCACTGGAGCCGGACGTGGAGGAAGGTCAAGGGAATGATGGATGAAGATGCGTGCCCGGGATGGCTCTTGGGAACGCTGCATCTCTGACATGGGAATGGATCCCCTGCTCGCCATGGCTTGCTGCATCGCCGGAGATTCGGGCCCGGGCGAGAGTGGCTGTGGCTGCGCTGCATAATCTGGAGGTAAGATCGCTCTATACCGGGGCACTGGTCTGTCCGGCTGAGCCGAGTATGGAGGGGGTGCAGGCGTAGAAACACGGCGCTCTTGCTGTGCAGGCATCGTAGCAGGCGGGTTTGACTCTTCCACGGCCTGATTTGAATTCTCAGCCTCATTCGCGTGTGCAGTAGTACTTTCTGGAGCAGTCGCAGCCGGCCTAGAAGACTCCTCTCCGGCACTAGACGCCGCAGGTTGTTCAACGACGCTTCGTGCTTCCGGCTGTCTCTCAGCTGTAGTAGATTCCGTGTTTTCAGCGTCTGGAACAGACCTCTCTGCCTCCTGGAAGAACGGATTGTTGGGATTGGAGTTGCCCGTATCAGATCCAGGGTCAGGATCCGTTGTCAAAGCCAACCCTTTCTCGCCATGCCCGTTCTCGTTCTCTGCCAGCCCCTTCTCGTTACTCTCAGCTGCAGTTCCCTCCAGGTTAGTAGAGCGAGCTATGCGACTTTCGGGGGTCATTGAGCAAACATGGTTAATGCATTCGAAATACGGTTCCTTGCTGAATAAATCATGTGCACAGGCCTGATAGTATTCAGCGGCTGCACCGTGAAGCTCATAATTCGGAACGACCACATTAGGCGTTTCGAAGACATTCCAATACGTGCTATTCTGAGTTCCCGGATCAACGACAGCACGTTGTCCAAGGTCTGGCCATGGCGCGACCTCATTCTGCCTGTTGACGGTGCTTTCCGGCGTATCTGGCAAGAAATGAGATATCTCTTTCTCTTCCCACCACTCATCGCACGATTCCTTGGATGCGGGAGATGTTGTAGAGAGCGGAGGAACTGCTGGCCGTTCGGTGCTGATAGGGGTCTTTCGGCTGGCAACTGTGCTAGAACGCTTCAACAAGGGCGACAGGAGATACGTCCACCATCCTTGCGATTGATGCCGGTTCGTTTCCGTGTTGACGCTCAGACGCGGGATAATTCGTCTCTTGCTCTCGTTTGAAAATGATCGTCCTCGCGCAGCTGACTTTGGGGTTTCGTCTTCTTCAAAGACGGTGCTGGTCGAGAACGAGCGTTGTTGTCGCGTTGGTGGAGTCTCTTGTTTAGAGAAAACCTGCTCCGCGCCGTCGCTTTTCGCAAATGAATGAAATGCTGGGATGGCAGGGACAGGTGGAATGTCTTGGTCCGGATCCTTGGAGCCTACATGAGGCGTTGGTTGAGAATATACGCTGGACGCTGCACGCGATGGACGACGTTCAAGTTCTGGGCTATCAAAGGCCCACGGTCCATCCTCTCTCGCCGGTGTTATTACTATGGAAGGCGTAACTGGCGTGGGCTGAGTGTGTGCACTGCCAAGTTCTCGCGAAGTGGCGCTGTCCATCATCTCTTTCCGCTGCGAGGTCTCATCATATGGCACTGTGAGACCGATGACGATGGGTCTATCGGAAGGGGATAGCTCATACTTCTCAGAAGGTGTATGCTGCAATGGCGGAGGCGCAGAGGCGGCATGTTCCACAGAGTTTTGTGGTTTCGACTGGTCGACAGGCTCATCGATCAATTCTTGGTATCCGTGGCCTGCCTTCTTCCGCAGCGCTCGTTTGATCTTCTCCGCAGATCTCTCCTTCTCACGAGCTTTAGCCAACAACTTTAAATCGTTGAGATCCACGAAAGCAGGCGCGGCTGCGTCATTTTTCTTCCTGTACTCATTGCGAGAGAAATTCGTCACCACATGGAGATTCGTAGGACGCTCTCTTCTCTTCATGATGCCACTGCGTCTTGACTTCGCCCTTCCCGGCTTGCCACCGATCGATCTGCGTGCCTCCTGTCTGGCTTGTGAGAGATCCGCATATAATGCTCGCTCGAATTCATCCTGGGAATTGGATTGGACAGACGCCATGTGCTTGGCCGGGGCACCAACTCGGGGTGCTTGACTGGCAGAGGTATTTGCGTTTTCCAAGCTGCTTTCCTCAGACGAGCACGTTGGACTCTCGACTTCTTCAGTTATCGGCGAAGAGAAAGGAAATTTGGGAGCCTCTGGAGGGCGAAGGCTGGCAATCTGAGTGTTTATGGTCAGGTTCATCTATGTGAAAAGTCCAGACGGTCTATTTGACAAGGTCTGTTAGCTCCAGTAGAATGTGTTCGTAAGTAGATAATGTTACCATATGCAGGCTCTGAGCGCTGAAATCGAGATGTATTAGTCGCTAGCGATGTAAGTAATTCGGCTAGGCGGACAAGTATATTGTTGCAAAAAAGACGAAAATAATTTGAGGTAGCAGGAAAGAAGACAAGTCGATTGTTCTAGTCTTGAGAAGTAAACAATGAGATCGGTAGTGACTGACTGACTGACCAAACAATGGCAACCTGGCCGTGAATGGACGAAATCCAAAGAGAGTGAACAATAGAACAAAGACAGACAAAGCAATAAGGAAATCCTTATTGACAAAACCAACACGAGAGATGACTTCACTGCATCGACGAAAAAGCCATCAAGATGAAAAGGAACAGAACAGAAGAAGAAAAAGAATCGAGAGAAGGCGTGCAGAATGCAGACACGGTCCTGCAGCGTCCATTGCATACGAATCCTTGCTGGATCCACCAAATCCCTAGCCAGCCAAAAATAAAAACATTTTTAGATCTGGGATGAGACATCATGTTTGAATCTGTTTGGCATCGTGCTTCAAGAAGACCATCATCGAAGTCTCCGATTGGAGCTTGGTCGAGCTCTACAGCCAAGCTTCCAGGCCGCAGGTGAACCTGGGCCGTCTTCGACTGGTGCAGACCATCGTGGACCGCGACCTCCTCTAGGGAAGTTTCATCGCGTCCGTGTTGACGAGGGACAGCGTCAGGGCATTGGCTGGCAAAAACACGTTTGGTAGCGTGTAGGCGCCAGTCTCCAGCCTGGGATGGTTGTTTGGATGAAAGAGCTGCTTGATAGAGATGAGGGCGGATGGTGGGCAGTTCGCCTCTGCCAATCAGCACGCGCCGCCCGCCGCCAGGGACGCGACACTATAGACAGATTACGGCTCGTCAGCGCTTAACTGCCGGACGCTGGTGGCTGTCATTTATTATAGATACAGTGAATGACGCTCAAGTGTCGAGATCCTTCAGATCATCAGTCGAACCATGGGAAAAAAAATACTGTACGCGGAAAGATGGCAGTCTCAGACTCCCAAGATAAGGACGGGCAAGGGCTGTGCTGGGCAAAATCCTGCCAGAATCTACAACTCTATGATAGCTTCTTCAGCACTGAAGAGTCCGTCAAATTAACCATCGTGACTCAAGTACCTAGGTAGGTAGTTTTCGGACGGATAAACGCAACACCGCCAAAACAAGCCGGGTTCCAAACCACGAAACACTAGACCAGCCAATGACACGTACATGATAGATGACTTGTAAGCACAAACCGTGAGGATATCGAATCGCAAATGACACGCCAAGCCCATGTGGTTTTTCTTTTTGTACAGCCAGTAACAAGCTCTCAACTCCTTAATCAACAGGGGGGAACCAGAAAGCCCCTAACCTAGCCCGAAAGCAAAACAAACAAGTATAAATATGTGAAGGCTCCTTGATTCCACTTGGGAATCGAGCCCATATCCGCCTGATGCAGCATGGTGATGTTCTGGGCGAAACAGCACTTGTAACGCCTTTTGAACACGACAATATCTGCAACGGGAGGCCAAGTGTTGGATAGCAACACATGCCTGGACAAGCCAGTCCCAACATCAGGATATGCAAGCAACAAAAAGGCACTGTTCAATGCCAAAAAGAATGAAAAACAGTATACAAAGCCTCCTCGATGAAAAAAAGAACGACCACCAACACAAGAGGATCGACCCCCGTTAATGGTTGAGAATAAAAAACTGTACGGAAACCCGTGACTAATCGCTAAGGATATGGTTTTCGACGGAGCTACCGCCGTTCTTCGGTATACTGCACCCCTTGCATGGGGGCCACTGAGCCATTGACGAGAGGCGGCAATGTGCGAGCCTGGTCCTGGGGCATGGTTGATTGTGCCGCATAACTGGGGTATACGGGGGCTTGGGACTGCCCGTTGGCCTGCGCCGGTTGTCCCGCCATTGAGTGAGCATCGAAGATGGGTTGTGGTCGAGCCTGCCCGTTCGCCTGTTGTTGTTGTTGTTGTTGTTGCTGCTGCTGCTGACTGAGCTGAGCCCGGAGTTCCTCCACCTCAGTGCGCAAGACAGAATTGTCTCGGCGGAGTTGGTTGAGCGTCTTCTCCAGTTGGCCGATGTAGTCGATTGCTAGGACAGCAGCGTTAGAATGGATTTACAGAATTGATTTACCGCGGACTGAACCAAAGACATACCTCTCGTTAGCGTTTCCCATTTACTGGACTTGTTATTCTGACTCTGGGGAAGCCGCATCCGCAACATTTCGAAGCAGTCCTTCATTTCACTGCGACGCTTTCGCTCCGCCAGTTTATGCGTGATCCGCAGCTCTGGAGTCCTGCTGTAGGGAGTAGAACTGGTGGTATGGGACTGGGACGACGACTCCGATTCTCCCATCAAACCGCGCACTTGTTTGTGTTGTAGGGAATGGTGGTGTACACTCTGGGGCAGTTCTGTGGCAATCGGTCAGTCGAGTTCGAGATACGAAAGCAGGCGAAAGTGAAAGTACCATGCTGTCCCCGAGGGAGACGCGAATCCGTTGAGAAGACGCTGCTATTGATGGATTCCGCAACGCTCCCCTTACGGGAAAACGGACCCGACGACTGATTGTTCTTCTCGTTCGAGGCCGAAGCTGCATTGGATCGAGCGACATCAGGGTCAGGGAAGGCGTATGCCAGACCTGCCGTTGGGGCCTCCGCATTGTAAATCTCCGAACGAGGATTCGACGAGATGGCAGGGGCCGTGCGACCGGCGGCAAAGGGGCGATGCTCGCCCGACCGGTGGCCGAGCGGAGAAAGCGGCTGGCCAGAATAGCGAGGCCCTCTGTACGTGTTTGATTGATTGTAATCTGATGAGATTCCGCGTTCCCTCTGCAGTCCGGAAACAATCGAGGACTGTGATGCGTTGGCGCTATGATAAGGGGAAGTAGGATTGATGGCCAAGGAGCTTATGCCTTGGTTCATGCGGCTGTCTACGCTGCTGCGGCGAGACTCGGGCGGTTCAACGATGCTGCCTCGCTGGGAGGCAGCTTCGAAGTTCTGGTTTATCGAGGGAAGGGTCGAGGGGGGCTGCGTGGTCGCAAAACCAGGAGACGGTTGAGCGCCAGCTGAAGAAGGGGTATTGGATTGGTCGTTGGTGAAGGGCGACCGGTCAGATAAGGATACACCAGACTGGCGGTTCGGGGAGGCTTGCGAGGACGTAATGAATGACAAAGAATTGTAGTTGCCCGTTCCATTAGTTGTGTTCGAGTACGTCGACGATCCTGTCGGGTCAGTATAGGCGAAGACAGATGGCCGTACGGGAGACACACTTGTACTCTGAGGGATCGACCAATTGCCCGAGTCCCGCTCGAGCGTGTTCAGAGATGAACTCGCAGGCGACTTCTCCGACGGAGGAATGCTCACACCGCCCATGCTGGCGGTGAGGGTCGAAATCGAAGGTAGAGTCTGGGCCGTTGTGCCCGAAGTGGTCTGAGGACCGGGCTTGGAGTCCTCCCAAGGACGATGGGCGACCGAAGATTCCATCTTGGGGACAGGAGACGACTGGCGCGCTGCGAATTGTTCAAAGCTAGTAGTCACTCTTCCAACAATGATCCCCTCTGTCACAGCTTAGTTCATGTTCTCGAGACCCGTAATCCTCCCCAGACCCCAAGGACTTGGAAGGAAATTGCGGCGGTTTTCGACGGCTGAGAATCCGACGATTGGGAGGCCGTAGGTATGCAGTAGCACAATAGAGCCGAGCGTCTATCCCAACCGTGATTCCCGTTGTCTCAGTCCCGTTCTCCTCCCTGGAGAAGCACCAGCAACTCAATATAAGCGGAAAGAATCGATCCGGCGTAAGGTCTGTTCGGCGAACCAGCGAACTCGTCCCAACGATCGATCGTAGCGCCAAGTCGGCACGAAGTTTTTCTTGCAAAACAAATTACTGGTTTGGGGAAGATGCCTGTTCGAGCGGAGCCCTCAGACGGCGGCGGAAGCCATGAACCTCAGCGAGGCTAGGGGGTGGACGACGTGGGCAGGGAGGACGGGACGGGTCAAACAAGGAGGCAGACGCGAAGGGACCAAGAACTTGGACTGGTTGTTAGCAGGCGTGACTCTCGAGAAGCGCCAGAATCGACTGATAGCTCCTGTCATCAGCTGGGAGAGCGGTCGCACCGCAGGAGTTCGCAGCGTACCTTTTTCTTCACACGCTGCATGCAACGACCCAGCTGAGAGCGATGGCGGTGGCCGACCGGCAATTGGGGCTTTGGTCCGGTAAGAGAGAGAGAGAGGGCGAGAACTCTGTTCAGGGCGAGTTCATCTGGGTAAATAGCGGGCCAGAGAAGCGAAACGTGGATGCGCTGGCAGATCGCGCAGGGAGGCTGGCGGGTAGGACTGAAGGGAGAGCAAAGTGAGGATCGGGGCGGAGGCGGAGGGCCAGCAGCCAGCGCGAGCTACGACAGCCAAAGACCCCGGGCCGCGAGATCTGGGCGGAGGTCTCAAGAGAGTGGAGCGAGATGACTAGTGACGAGCATCCAGGACGAGAGAGAGCGGACGAAGAGAGATAGTCAATAGTCCGTCAATAATAGAGGGAGGCGGCAAGCGAGACAGCACGGAGATGGAGGGTGCCCGGCAGGCAGTCTGCAACCCCCACAAAGCGACCGCCAGGCCTCCCTGTTGCCAATATTGCCAAGCTTTAATTCCAGATCTCGCTCTTTTCTGCCCTACAGGGTACGCAGTCTACGGAATACGTAGTCTGGAGCAGCTCAGAAGCTACGTGACAGGCCTCTCTTCGCCAGTGCAACTACGTCCATGATCACCTAACGATCGCTGACCGTTCTCATCCCTGCCTGACCGATTCTCCCCGCCAAGCAGGCCTATGTACGGAAGCAGCCGACAGGTGGGATCGTGACAGCCAGCCAGCAGCCAAGCGACGATGGAATGGCCAAGCAACGGAGTGATGTGCACTACTGCGCGCAAATCCTCCCCGGTTGGCAGAAAACCACGAGGTTCGTTCTGGGGGGGAGGATTGCGGGTCCCGGGAGAGGCGTGAGGCCGGGTCCACTGCAATTGCACATTCCACAGGACGCGCCCAGTGGTGGTGACTGGAGAGGAAGGGATTTTGGCCCCAGAACACAGGATGCAGGCAGGCAGGTGGCCGCAGACGCAGACCCGCGGGCCGTTGATGGTGATGATGCACTGTGCACCAGGCCGTAGCCACACCTATCACATCGCTGGGAGCTGCCCT